GGTAGTTTAAACATTACCTTTAGAATTCCTGGGCCTCTTCAAACTCTAGGCTAACTCCTGTGGAAATTTTCTTAAATTCTATGTCATCACCATCTTAAATGCAGTTTTCAGCCATGTTTGCTGGTGCTTTTTGTACAAGTAAGTTTGTGTTACTGACTTTTGCCAGAAAATAAGGGGGGTTTGATCAAAACAAAGAGGTTAGCTTATTCTTTTTAAAGGTACAAACTTCTTCCTTAATATATATACTAACTTATGTATGCAGTTGGCCCTAAGAAATGGTTTTGAATTACCATCTCTTACGGGGTGGCACAAAGTTTAATAAATCTACTCATGACAATTCCTTTCTCTGTCCATGTTCAGTAGTTAGGAGAAAGAGTTACTATAAACTTACTACAAAAGGCACTTCAGTACTAAGTACTCAGTGATGACTCATTCTGTTATTTTCTGTTAAGTTTCCTGAAGTTTTACATGCTGTGGCCCTACCAAGTGGCTGTCTTTTGTTAGAGGTCCACAGTGGTTTTCTGCCTGATGCCGACAATTCCTTTCCTCTGTCCATGTTCAGTAGTTAGGAGAAAGAGTTACTATAAACTCTACAAAAGGCACTTCAGTACTAAGTACTCAGTGATGACTCATTCTGTTATTTTCTGTTAAGTTTCCTGAAGTTTTACATGCTGTGGCCCTACCAAGTGGCTGTCTTTTGTTAGAGGTCCACAGTGGTTTTCTGCCTGATGCCTCTGCCTTTCTCTTCCTTTCATACTGTGTGTGTGTGTGTGTGTGGGTGTGTGTGTGTGTGTGGGTGTGTGTGTGTGTGTGGGTGTGTGTGGGTGTGTGGTGGGTGCTAGGTTCCAGGCAAGTTCCAACCTGCTGAAAGGTTTTTTTTTTTTTTTCATTTTCTTTATTATTCATATGTGCATACAAGGCTTGGTTCATTTCTCCCCCCTGTCCCCACCCCTCTTACCACCACTCCACCCCTCGCCTCCCCCCCTCAATACCCAGCAGAAAACTATTGTAAAGTGTCTTTTAATCTCAGAATCTCCAGGATTCTGTTTAACCAAAATTGAGTTTAACACATCAAATGTATTATTTGATAAGGTAAGGATGTGACTAAGTATAAGCACCATGTGAGCAGACCCTGTCTTGTTCACCATTGTGTCTGCCAATACCTGGAACTGTGTCTAGGCATATCGCAGGTACTCAGCAAACTATTTAATGATTGAATATACATTTATAATGAAGGGTGGAAGAATTATAATAATTGTGTTTTATACATAGATAATAGATTTTTTTTGAAGATCTCAGTTTGGGAATATAAAGATATAAAGGTAGAGTCTACATCTTCCTTCATTTTATTTATTCAACAAATATTTTATCGAGTCTTGTTACTTTGTGCTATGGCTCTGTGTTAGTAGGTGGTGTCCAGAAGTTAATAGTCATGTTGCTTATAGTCTGGGAAGAGACATGTGGGAAGAGGGAAGGGGCTGGAAACTAGGATGCAAGGGTTTTAAACCAGAGGTATATTTGTTTGAGCTGCAGAATATTTTTTGGTTTTGTTTTTCTTTTTTCTCTTACCACAGTAGTAGTCTGGTCCTCAAAGGATTTGAGTTGTTGACCCTTGGCTTAGAATGTGGTGGGAAGGCTGACAAGCAGATAATGAGATCACAGTGTGACAATCATGTCCTATACCAGTGGCAGGAAACTTTAGGAGAACCAGCTAAAGCTCCATAGTTGAGAAGTGGAGAGTGGGACCGTGCTGTGGTGGAGAGCACAGGAGATCCAGGCTGTGCCTCATACCCTCAGCCACAAGGCCTAACCTCTTCCAGCCTCCAGCTGTTAACCTCTAGTGACGGAAGTATCCGAGCTGTGTTCTGCAGAGCCTTCTTAGACCCAGCTCTCCCTCTGAACACCCAACCCTGCCTTTTCTGCTCTGCATGTTGAGTTTCTCTGAAAGATTTTGTTTGAAAAGTGAATTCCTTGGTTGAGAAAAATTTCAGTCTGTGAACTTGGTGATCTATAAGATCTCTCCAGTAATAATCATAAAGTGATTATTCTGACATTCCATGCATATTCAGCTAATATGCCACCAAAACAAAGCAAAAAAAACAACCTAGGTGAAAATACCTTTGCCCTTTGAGATGAAGGTCACATAGAGGATCTATGGTGATTCAGGTTCAAAACCCAAACCCTGGAGTTTTAGTTCTTTATAAACTATTATTCCCTGTCTCCACCGCCCCCCGCCACCATAGTGAGTTCCTGTGGCAAAGCCTCAATTGCAAGCTTTCTTGCAATTGATGTCTATAATCCCAGCCCTCAGACTGAGCAGGAGGATTGCAAGTTTGAGGCCAGCCTGGGCTACATAGTGAGGTCCTGTCTCAAAAACCAAACCCAAACAAAAAAGCCTGTCTACTAATTTCTGAGGGAGTTTGACGAGTCACACACTTTATGTTGTTTTGATGTTTGTATTTATTTACATTTCCTTCCAGCTGTCACCACTATCTAGACTATTTGTGTAAGAATGTACTGGAATGGTTTGAGAGCATCTCCTCCAGCATACTGTTTGTTCCATCTTTTCCCACTTTTCCTTTTTCATGATAGAATCTGGTTGTTGTGGAAGTAATTCTGATATCAGTGAGCAACAGTAACTATTTTCACATATCTGTTGCCAGGAATTAGGCCCAACGGAAAGGAACCATCTTCAGAAGGAAAAAGAAGACAGTAGGACTGCATGAACATTTGTTTAGCACTTAGCAGTTACAGCCTTACAAATTTCTTAATCCCTCAGAACTCTAGTTTCCTCTTCTGTAGAGTGGATCACACAATACTTCCCCTAGAGTTTTGTTGTGAGGTTTAAAAGATAAAGAGGGTGTGCCTGCTTGCCTTGGTATTGGGCTTACTCTAGGCATGTAAGTTAGTGTCTCTCTCTCCTTTCCATTTTCCTTTGCCATTTAATATTCCTTTTTTCAAAATAAAAGGAATCAGACAAAAAAGGAAGAAATAAAATTATCCCTGTTTGCATATAATATAATCTATACTTAAAAGAATATAAGGACTCCACGAGAAAACTCTTACATTTGATAAACACTTTTGGCAAAGTAGTGAGATACAAAAGCAACATACAAAAATCAGTAGCTTTTCCTTATACCAATACTGAACAGACTGAGCAAGCCCATGGCTTCAAAAAGAAGTACCTAGGAATAAACCTAAGTAAGGAGGCAAAAGATCTCATATGTTCATGGATCAGCAAAATTAATAATATGAAAATGACTGTACTACTGAAAACAATCTATAGATTGAATACAATTTCCATTAAAATCCCAATACATTTTTTACAGAAATAGAGAATTGATAGAGAAGCACAAAAGACCCTGAAAAGCCAAAGCAATCCTGAGCAAAAAAGCAATGCTGGAGGTGTCACAATATCTGACTACAGAGCCATGCTAAGAAAAACAGCATGGTACTGGCACAATAACAGACACATAGATCAGTGGAATAGCATAGAGGACCCAGAAATAAACCCATACAGCTTCAGCCATCTGATTTTCAACAAAGGTATCAAAAGCATATTTTGGAGAAAAGACAGCCTCTTCAAAAACTGGTGTTGGGAAAACTGGATAGCCACAAGTAGAAGACTGAAACTAGATCTCTGTCTCTTACCCTGTACAAAAACCAATTCAAAATGGATCAAAGATCTTAATATAAGACATGAAACTTTGAAACTATTACGGAAAACTTAGGGAAAGCACTAGAAGAAATAGGACTAGGCAGAGACTTCCTGAATAGGACTCTTAATTGCCCAGGAAATAAAAGTAGGAATTCACAGATGGGATTGCATTAATTCTACACAGCAAAGGAAACAGTTACCAGAATCAATAGATATGCAGAGAATGGGAGAAAAAAAATCTTTGCCAGATATTCATTGGATAAAGGATTAATACCCAAAATAAAGAGCTCCAAAAATTTAACTCCAAAGAACAAATAATCCAATTAATGTCAGGGAAAATGAATTGAACAGAAAGTTCACAAAAGAAGTACAATTGGCAAATAAATATATGAATTTATACCATCCTTAGCCATAAAGGAAATACAAATCAAAATTACATTGGGTGTCCATCTCACCCTTGTCAGAATAGCTATCATCAAAGAAACCAAGGATGGTGTGGTGGGGAGCGGGTAGGAAACCTTTTACACTATTAGTGGGAATGTTAATTAGTGCAACCACTATGGAAATCAGTATGAAGTTTCCTCAAAAAACTAAAAATAGATCAATATGATCCTGCTATACCATTCCTTGGTATATTTCCAAAGGAATATAAGTCACCATACACCCATGTTTATTGAAGCACTGCTCATAATGCCCAAGCTGTGGAATCAACCTAGCTGCCCATCAACCAATGAATGGATAAAGAAAATGTTTATGTAACACACTGGAGTATTAGACAGCTATAAAAAAGAATAAAATTACATCATTTGCAGGAAAATGGATGAAACTGGAGATCACATTGAGCAAGATAAGCCAAACTTAGAAAAACAAATATTACGTTTTCACTCATATGTAGGAAGGGTTTTTAAGTCACTACACTGAAGTAGAACATTGGATATTTTAAAAGATTTGCACCTTCTGTCTTAACAGTAAGCATCTGGATTTCATGTGTGGTTTGGCTTTTTAGCTTTTAGGGATTATCTAAATCAAATTTGAGTTTCCTAAAACCTAATGTGTTGGCAGTGTTCAAGCTCATAGACAATGTGGATGGATGTCTAAAACCCTGTTGGCCTTTTAAGCCACACTTGCTACTTGTGACTTTACTCAAGCTGCAGCAAAGGTGTCACAAGAGGATTTCAGTCTGAACTATGTTGGAAAACAAAAATTCATGGATTCCATTTGACATCTATGGACTGTTCAAAATGTCTGGCTGAAGTTGGCTGAGATGAAATGGATGGTTTTTCTGCTTTTGAGATCGCATTGAGCTAATTTCATTGATCTTTTCTCCTTTTTGCATGTGCAGAATTAGACTGGCTGAGCAACCCAAGCTTTTGTGTAGGAACCATTTCGTCGCTGAGCCAACACACAGAAGAGGCCATAGCCCGTGTTTCTGAGGAGTCACCACTGGCAAGGTAGCAGATTGGCAGGTGGACTTAGGCCTTTTCCATGTTGATCCACTTAGGTGATGCTCCTTAGAAAAAGTCCTGGGGTGAAAGACTAAGTAGAGCTCATCCTTTCACGTACAGTACTGAGGCAGTCTTTGGTGTTGTCCGTGCTTCACTCCTGTTCCTTTCTTGCCCCTTTCCGTTTGCGTTGCAGTGGCAATTCCATGACACAGGCCAGAAGGGAAAGGCATCATTGTGAGTCTCAAGTAACCTTTAGAATGTTATAATTTGGGTGTTTCTTTCTTTGATTCCATTTTCAATACTTCTGTAAAAGTAGCTACTAAAATGTAGGATAAAATCTGATGAAAACACTGGGGAAAGCAGTGGCACAAGTCTTTCCCTACCTGTGAAACAATTTTTTGAGAAATGTACTCTTTCACAAATATAGACTAGATGGCATCAGTTAGTGTGGTGAAAACCCCATACTCTAAATGCTTTGTAATCTTTTGGAAATTAATACTATGTGATGCCCAAAAGGGAGTTTATAGGTATTTTAGTGATGAAGAAGAGGATCATTGTTACCTTACAAACAAAAGTTCCCCCACCCCCAATTTTTCACTTTTATTTTTGTCTTAAGGACATATTGGCATAATATGTGACACTGAAAATATGACTAATAATGTAAACAATACTTGATAAAATAACTGGTAGGTTATTTTCATTTAAAGACACATTCACATGAAAGGGTAGCTTTAGAAACTATTAAAATGAGAAATTTCTTCACCTGTTTTCATTCTAGGTGCAATTCTCAGGTCTAAGGTGAGTTGTAATCCAGGAAGTTACTATGTAGTTTATGGGAGAATAGGAAGTAAGTGGGTTTATGGAGCTCCCTATCAAATGTTTATTTAATTTACTTATTTACATATTATTTTCCCTACTTCTCTTTAGAAAAAAAATTCAAAATCCGGTTTTCCCAAGCAGGGGTCCCCTGAAATCAGAGTCTTCAGATGAGAGTGACGCCAACAAAAAGCTCTCACAAGTAAGCAGAAAAAAGAAGAAAGAGAAAAAGAAGAAACGGAAGCACCAGCACCGTAAGAAAACGAAGAGGAAACATGGGCAGTCAAGTAGCAGTGGGTGTGAGTCAGATGCTGGTTCTGGGAAGGACCCATCTTCCAGAAGCCTCAGGGGAAGTCAGAAGGAGTCTGAGAAACCCAGGTGGGTTGCTGTGCTCTTTTGAATTCGAGTTTTTCACTCCTTGATTGTTGCTACAAGTTCGAAATTTAAGTGATTATTTAGCCAGCCAGTCAAAGGAAAGTTCTACCACTAGTGCATCTTAAAAGCAAAAAAAACTGTCATAGAAATTAGCAGCGTAACTTTGAGAAATATTATTTAGACAATAGTGAATATCAAAATCTGATTTGGGATTCTGGGGAATGGCACATGCCAGAGGGAGGGTAGTCAGTGCACTCTGCAGTGAAGGGTTCTGAATCTGAGGGCTGGTGGCTCCCATGCTTACAGAGAGGGACAGAGATACTTTGTTCTCTGCTGTGATGTGTCTTTGTTCAGTCACTCACTCCTGTGTGTATTTGTTCAGAATCGTCACGTGAAGATGTAGAATAGCTTATGACCAAGAGAAGCATGTCCTTCTCTTGGGGGCTTTATTCCTCCCCATCTCACTCTGTCATCTACCTTTAAAAGATTATTCAAGTCAATCCCCAGAGTGGGACTCAGGATAGCTTTTCCTCTGTACTCCATTAAGCATCCTTCTGCTTAGAGAGACATGTGAGGTACAATAGGTAGTATGTGGTAAAGCTACCTGGGTGATTACTTGTTTAACTTTTTCTTCTCTTTGTCCCCACAGTCTAGAAGAGAGAAAATTTAAGTACTTAGGGCATACATTAAAAAAAAAAAGCAGTGTTGATGATATTTTTGCATCTGCTTGGGGATTATCTACTTTCATTACGTGTTCAGAAGTCCCATGGATGTCAGTGAGAGCTCTGTGTTGGAGCAAGTGTGGAACCAGCTCTGGGTGTTTCTATCTGAGGCAAACACTGCAGTCTTCCGGGAGCCTGGAGCAGTGTCATCAGATCAGTGGGAAGAACCCTTCAGGCCTCTGTGGAGCAGATTTATTTAGCTTTCCATGTAGCTCAAGGGCTGTACCTGTAGTCCACACACTTGCTCATAGAAGGCGGAAGTGAAGAAAGCAAGGAATATAGTTCTAAATTGGACTGAACTTAGGAGGGCAGCAATCACGGCTGCCTTGCTAACACCTATGTATCCATCAGTCCACACAGGGTCTGATACAGTACATTTTGTTAAGCTGAATGAATGAATGTATTGTTGATATTCTTACTTTCAATGTCCTCGAAAAAAGCTACTTTAATTGTAGCTTCTGAAAACTTACCTCTTAGCCACATGTCCTTTTTACACAGAGGAAAATAAGTCTTAAAGGATTTCCTGAAACTACATGGGAACTACATTCAAGTTCTCTTCCAGGAGAACTTGAATGATCGTTAATTTCAACCTGTGCTTGCCATGTCAGAGACCATCTTCACAGCCTCTTAGTAGTTTTATGATCCAGACAGCATTTTAAAGTTCATTATTTTGCTGAATAACCTTATCATGGTCAAAACAGATTGCTCTTGTCCTTCTCTCTTTCTTTCTTGCTGCTAACTTCTATAGTTTCTTTTGGGAAGGCTGATCTGGAAGAATTGTTTGTTTCCACGTAGACAGACACTAGTGGGTAGTGAATGTCTTTCCTTGGTGAGATGTTCACGGAGGGTGGCATAGCATGTGGGAATCCTCTTCAGGCTGCAGCTGCTGATTGGCCTGGGTTTCCTGGGATGAAGTTTCCTTCACCATAAGGTGGAAGCAGCTCCTTTTGTGCGCACAACTGAGACCACGTCCTGCCTTCTGATCCTGATAGCCATAGGAGGGGTGATAAGGGCATGTTTACTCCCTAGGGCAGGGGGTAGTTTGCAGCTGTCCTTTGACTTTCCTTTTCTTTCTGGAATGTATCAATTTCTTTCCAGTGGACTTTCCCTGCCCTTTACAGTTTTTGTAGACAAAAACCTCCACAGTGCAGACAAATGTCTTACATCCCAGCCAAAAATCACTGTGTTTTTAACTTGAAGCTCATCATTCAACAAGTATTTATTAATTACTTTGTGTCCTTGAAATGCCATTGTCTTGTATTTACTGCCAAGAATGATTGAGAAGCCTCCAGAATCTTTATTTTTATTTGTGCAGAGCTAAGGAGCAAAGATGAAACAACAGCTAATGGCTGCTGTTTCTTGTGTCAGCAGTATTATGAACTGATTTTCTTTAGAAGAAGGTTTTTAGATGGCAGAAAACTTTCCCTCCCTCTTCTTTAACTCTCAGGGAAGTGGTGCCATTCATTTGTATCTGATCTGAAAGCCTGGCATCCCACAAATTGGTCTTATTGGGGCACTCTTGATTCTGCCTTTTCTGTAGGAAGTTCAGCTGTATAGACAAAACACTGTGTACAGAGCCCAGTCTAAAAATGAACCCGAGGCCACGCCTGAGCAACACTGAACATTGCCAGTCAGAATAGTGGCTGTTTTATTTTTTAATATTGAGTTGGAATAAAGGATTTGAGCACTTTTAAGTAAGTTAGGTAAAGTAAGGCAACCCACTTTAGTGTCAGTGATTATCACCAGTGATATGTGATCATTAGCTCTTCCTAGTGCTCTAAAGTGCCTCAGAGCAGGACATTTTTTAGGAAAAAGCCTTGTTTATAAATACATTAAAAATTTCAGTTGTAGTCATTTAAATGAAATATTTAAAAAGAACACCTATTTTCTTCAAGTTAATTTCTGATATGACTTCCTTGGTAAAGTATCATTTAGGATGACAGGTTTTGCTTTATTTTGTAAACTCTTTCCAGAACAGGAGTCATCTTCTTATCTCTATGGTGTGTGTGCAGTTCGATGTATTTTGATGCGTTTGTTGATGCCTGTGGGGTCTGAAAAGTGTCACTTCCATATTTCTGGACATGCCAGATATGTTACTAGAAGATTTCTGAAGTACCTGACCCTTTTCCTTTGTCCCACAGTCAAGGAAATACTGCTGGTGCTGGTGCTGGACAGCATACTATTTGGCTGGATGACATCCAGACTCTAACGGGAGAAATCTTCAGGACAGATAAGAAACCAGACCCTGCCAACTGGGAGTACAAGTCCCTCTACCGTGGGGACATAGCAAGGTATCCATTGTGTTTGCCTCAGTTTTTTGTGTTGGAAGTGACCTCCCTCTCCTCTGAACACTCTCAGCACTGTCTGCCTGCCTTTCTCTCCCTCTCATAGATTCTGTTGGGTTTTATCCAGTGTTGTTAAGGTGCACATCTTATCTTGTAATCGAAATGCAAGTTTAAGCCTTGAGGTCAGATCAGAATAATTTTTCTTATCCCTGGTGTTGTAGGTGTACAATAAATATTTGTTGAGTGAGTGAATCTAAGACTACTTCATGATAATTAATTATGATAGAGTATCCGGAAACTATGTGGTCTAATCTGTATGCCATTTAAAAAGTGGCAAGAGCCTTTTTACTTATCCATTCCCCATATGTGCCATTTAGAATTGACATTTAATGTAATGATTTTTTTCAGGTTATTTCTAGCATATACCATCAGATGATCCATAAAAATAGGTATTGGTATTTGCTTCAGTAATGAGTTTGAACTTTTCCCCTATAGTCTGTCAATCAAAAGTATTTGAGGCTATGCTCAGTGACTCACACTTATAATCCCACCTACTTGGGAAATGAGATCTGGAGGATTGTGGTTTAAGGCCAGCTTGGGGTGGGAGTGGAAGGGATGTTATTGAGACCCCATCTCAACCAATAAGCTAGGCAGTGGTGATACATGCCTGTGATCCCAGTTACTGGGAGGCTGAGGTAGCAGGATTGCTGTCTGGGCCTGCCCTAGGCAAAAATTCGAGACCCTATCTGAAAAGTAACCTAAAAAAATAAGAAAAAGACTAAAGGTGTAGCTCAAGTGGTAGAACATTTACCTAACACATCTAGAACCCTGAGATCAAACATCAGTACCATAAAAAAAAAAAAATTTTTTTTTTTTTTTTTTGAGTAAGCCAGGTGAGGTGACTCATGCTGTAATTCCAGGTAATTGGGAGGCTGAGGCAAAGGATCTCATTTGAGGCCAGACTGGTCGGCTTGGTGAGACCCTATCTCAAAACAATAACTACAACCAAAAAAAAAAAAAATTGAGTTCTTTCTAAAACCCCTTGGATGCCTAGTATTTTGTAGGAAACTTGGGAGCATAGACAATGGTAATACACTATCTATTCCCAAACAGTTTAAGGTATTGAAAACCAAAGCTATAGAATCATGGAGTACAAGTCAGGAGGACGTCTTGGGGGTCGTTATCCTTTATAAACAATTTCCAATGCCTAGTACTCCAGATTTTACTCATACTTCACTCTCCTGACATTGCGCCCCACCAGATGAACAATCACAACTGAAGTTTCCTTTATGATGATTTCATCTTGTTTGTATTTCAGTGTTCATTAGTTGACCAATGTATTGTCAACTAAAACCTCCTGGCTGAGAGTAACTATCATTTCAAATATATTCACATACTCTCGGATTATTTTAATGCCCTCTGAAGTCTGGTTGGGTTTTCTATGCCATCCCAGGTGGTACCACAGATAGGGTACCACCTCCTCAAGCTGCTCCTTGAGGAGGAGGAGGAGGAGGAGGAGGAGAAGGACCTCAGGTCAAGTAACTGCTCCAGATCAGCAAACAGGGAGCAGAGCAGGTTGGAATTTGAACCACAAATACAGGTGGGACAGGTTGTGGGGTAGGACCTTTTCTGGGTGACCAAGGACCCAGGTTCTCATTCTGACCACCATTTACCAGCAGCATAGTCCCAGGGAGGTCACTCAGCTGTCTCAGCCTCCTTTTCCTCATTTGTAAGTTGGGAATTATAATTCCTGCCCTCTCTTGCACTCAGATATCAGAGATGTCTGATAGAGAATTGGAACGGGGTGTGCAGTTATAAAGATTTATTATTTATTAGTAGATGAAAAAGGAGAAAACATTAAGAAAGAGTGGTTCTCAAGGTTCTGCTAATGAATGGCACAGGCCTTAGAAAGAGGGTAATTAAACACAACTTTATTAATCTAAGCTGCAAAGATGGCACTGTTAAAAGTCATAGGGCACTGTCAGTTTCCTAGTAACTCAGTAGAGTTGAGTGAGGCAGTCTTGCCTGGACTAATAACTGTACAATTGTTCATGTCCAGGTCTAGAAAGGTGTCCACCTATGGCACTTTGAGCTGGTCTGAGGACCCTGGGAATATTGTGTCAGGTACAGGGTTTTCACACTTGGAGGGGCACTGACAAATTGGGAGCACTGACAGGACAGTGGGCATTTGCTTAGGAGTTGAGTAGTTCCATCCTGTGAGCACTGCATGAGGGGCATCTCTGGCCTGTGGCAGGGATGTAATCATTGACCTTTAAACTTTGTTGGACTGTCCATTGGAAAGTGGACAGACTTGGGGAGGCAGAACCAGGACTGAGGGGAAGGTCCAGGGAGTCAGACTTGTCTTGGTAGAAAAGCACGTCCTCTACAAGTATGGGTATCCCTGCAGTGACATGCTGTTCATTGGCGTATTGTTGTAAGCAGGAATTAAGTTCTAAAGTTACTGCATGAGATGAAAGTGACAGTTATTACCTGTAGAAACGCCTTAGTATTGTTGTGGGGCGATGTTGAGAGTGCTTTCCTCCACAGGCCAAAGAATTGGCTCATGAGGCAGCCGATTGACTTGTGAGACAATTTGGCACACAAAGTAGGATTTATTAGAGAGAAAGGAAAAGCTGCCCCTAGAGATGGACAGGGAGCCCAGAAAATCGGTAGCTCCTGTTGTTTACATAGAGGGGTTTTTATTTGGCCCTTTTTCTTAGGGAGGAGAGTCAGGAGTCGGGTGGAGTGGTCTCTTAACATATCTCTACAGGAGCATATGCACAGTCCTGTGAAATCCTCCTGCTTATCAACCTTATGGCATTTTGAGGCATCCCCAGGGGCCATGACTTGTGAGGCCGCATGTCCTTTTACAGGACACAGTGCTCTCATGGGGGACAGGGCACTGGCTCATTTTGTCTTCTGAGCCCCCAGACCCAACAGTACTAGTATACCGTCTGTCAGTAAAGGTCAGCTCAGTCCATTTTTTTCCTTCATTTTTGAACAGGTTGTTACTTTATTTGGCTACATACCAGATAAAATAGTTGCCCTATGCTTAGGAGCCAAGTTTCGTAAAATAATAAAAATAATTTAAGCTTATTTAGCCCTTCTTTTGTGGCAAACACTCTCCCAAGGGCTTTATATCTATTATTTTGTTTTATTTTTTTACCATGTCAGTAACTATGACATAGGACCCATTTATTCCCATTTTACCCATGAGGAAACTGAGGCCCAGACAGTACTGTGGTTTGAAAGTAGTTTGTCCCCCTAAACTCATGCATTAGTTTAATCCTCAAAGTCTTATAAGGGTGAAATCCTAATCAGTGTTTAGAGATGGGGCCTTTGGGACGTGCTTAGCTTAGATACCCCACCATTGAATCCTTGTGGCTTTATAAGGACAAGGCAAGACGTTACATAGACACAGTAATGTAGTAAAGGGGGCCCTTGCCAGAGTTGTGCCATGCAGTTTGGACTTACAGCCACGAAAATTCTGAGCAAAAATAAACCTTTTTTCTTCTTTACAAAGTAATCTGCATCATATACTTTGTTATAATAATGAAAAGCTGGCTGATACAGACAAGTTTTAATAACTTGATCAAGTTTGCCCAGCTAGTCAGCTGTGGAGTTGGAATTTGAACTTAGGCAGTCAGGCACTGTGAGGGGTGTGTGAGAAGCCACAGACAGGCAAATTATGTTGCCTAGTTTACTCACTCCAGGATCCAGGCCCACTGAGTGGATTCAGGGTACAATTAAGTGCTCCATTTAAACATGTTTATTCTTCTTCTTCCTCTCAGACTCCATCTTTTTTTTTTTTTTCTTTTTTTGTGGCCAAGTGCCTGTAGGTGCATTCATTTAAATTAAACGTCCATATGATGTAATTTGTTAACCTCTGAAGTGTGTATGGGGTCTCCTGCCTCTAGAATTACGTAAGTGAAGGCAGCTGATTATTTGATAATGATTTTTTAGGAAAAGTATGTTCATTTGGGGGAATACTGTGTTAAATTACATCCTAGGTCTTGTCCGGGCATTAAGATTCTGCAATAAATGATAAATTAGATACAACTTACATGTTCAACAGTAGGAAAACAGTTAAGTAAATAATATCACATCCATGCACTGGAACAGTTTGAAGTCAATAAAAGGTATATTCTCTAAGACTAATTGTATGGAAAAATGCTTAAAAGTAGGAGGGAAGCTTGAAACTACATGATACCAACTGCTCTTAAAAAGGATATGTGTCTATACTTCTAACTACACAGGAATACATGTCTGAAAGTGGATAATATAAGCCAGTAAGATTCTTTGTTCCTCCCTTAGCATTTTCATCTAATTTACAGTAGAAAATGCCTGCTAATTTTTAAAATACATTTTTATTAGCATATATTAGTTATGCAAAGGGGTTTCATTGTGGTATTTGCATACATACATATGATGGACCCTGATCATTCACCCCCTTGGTCACTCCCCCTCATCCAACCTTCTTCCTTCTTAAAACAATTTCAACTGGTTTCATTGTTCTATTTTCATACATGTTCCATATATGTTCATTTTCATACTTTATAAGTTCTTTGACCATTTTCACCTCCCTTTCACTATTTCTTTTCGCCCTTCTCACTGTTACTGGTTCCCACTCGTAATAAGAGCTTGTTTTATATTACTATCATTCATTTTTAAGGACTAGGTTCTGCATACGAGAGAAAATGTGATATTTGAACTTTCTAAGTCTGGCTTGTTTTGCTTAACATGATGATCTGTAGTCCATCTGTTTTCCTGCAAATGACACATTTCCTGCAAATTTCATTCTTTCTGGCTGAGTAACACTTCACTGTGTACATATGCATTTTCTTTATGCATTCCATTCATTGGTTGGTGGATACCTAGGCTGATTCTATAACTTGGCTGTTGTGAATAGTGTTGCTATAACATGGGCCTGCAGGTATCTCTGTTGTATATTGAATTACATTCCTTTCAGATATATGCCCAGGAGTGGTATAGCAGGCGCAAATGGTAGTTATGTTTTTAGTTTCTTAAAGAACCTCCATACTGATTCTCTATTATTTTAAACTCAGAAAACTCAATAAACATTTAATAGATTATATGTATACTTAGCGTACTATACATTTTAAACTAATGAAGAATCACAACTATTAAAATAGTTGTAATTATCCAGGTATGGTGTTGCATGCCTGTAATCCAGCACATGGGAGGTTGAGGCAGAAGGATCAGGAGTTCAAGTATAGTGTAGCCTGGGCTACATAGTATGACCCTGTCTCAAAAAAAATTAGTTATTAAGTAGACAGAATTAGCTTTTTACTTATAATTTGTTCCTTACAGAACGAGAGGCTTATTCAGGGCTACTTTAGCGCTGTTTTGTTAATGTTTGGTTTTGGTGCTGAAGATTACTTCATGTATGCTCTGTATCACTGAGTATGCCTCAGCTCTATCATGGTTGTTTTAATGGAGTAGAGAAAGCTTATCCTAAGGTAGTCTAGGAAGAATTGAGAGGGAGGATAGAGAAAGGGTTTGTCTTAGTCTGTTTTCTGTTGTTACAACAAAATACCTGAGACCAGGTAATTTAGAAAGGATAGAGTTTATTTGGCTCAAGGGTGAAGGCTGGGAAGTCCAAGAGCATGGCACTGGCATCTGGTTGGCCTCTGGTGAGGGCATTTTTTGCTGCATTATAACATGGCAGAGGTCATCACATGGTGAGACAGAGAAGATGTGAAAGTCAAGTCTCTCTTCCTTTTTCTCTTGTTATAAAGCCACCACTCCTATCATGGTTACCCCATTCTAATGACCTTATCTAATCCCAGTCATCTCCCAAAGGCCTCCATATGCTACCAATGTATAAATTTGTGGATTAAGTTTAAACACAAGTTTCCAAGAAGATACATGTATTAGTCAGTTTTATTATCTCTGTGAGCAAAATACATGAGAAAACCAGCTTAAAGGGAAAGATTTATTTTGGCTTATGGTTTTAGAGGTGTCATGGCAGGGAGGTATAGTGCAGCTCACATCACATGGCCCAGGAAGGAGGGAGGAAGAGAGGGAAAGGGAGCGGGAGAGAATATGCCTATGCCCTTGGCTTGTGGCATGGTGCCATCCACATTCAGGGTAAATCTTCTACCCTTAGCTAATCCTTTCTGAGAATGCCCTCAGAGACACACCCAGGGATGTGCTCTACTAATCTCTGAGGCACTTCTCAATCCAATCAAGTTGGTAATCAAGATTAATCATTAATATTTAAATCATGGCAGGGTTTGAGCGTGGATTTGTACGTATATGTGAGAAAATACTTCCTCAAAGTGGTATATGCTGTACTTCAGCAGTGATGGAGGGACAAGGCAGCAGAGAGGGCACCTGTTGACAGTGGAGAAGTGTGGGAAGTGGAGGGAAAGCCAGGTGGGCGGGCCCAGGGTCTAGTGCAGGCAGAGGTTTTTGGGAGCTGACCAAAGATGGAGGCACCTCTGCTTTGCTCTTTTCTCCCCACACAGCATTTTATTATACAAATTTTCAAATATACAGCGAAAGTTGAAAGAATTACATACTCATATACACGCCTCCTACATTCTCCCACTAGTATTCTACTGTATTTGCTTTATCCTTTATCTGTCCATCAACCCATCTTATTTTTTGGATGCATTTCAAAAGTGAACAACAGATAATACCCTCCCCCCTAAATATCTCTGCATGCATATTAAACAGCATTCAAAAAATATAGAAAGATACTGGGGCCCCCAATGTTTCCTCCAGCTCCTTTCTAGTCACCCCAGAGGTAATCACTGTTCTAATGTTTTTCCACCACCAATTAGTTGTGCCTGATTAGAATTTCATGTAAATGGAGTCACATATTCTTTGTGTCTGACTTCTTTTGCCCATTGCAGTATTTTTGAGGATCCTCCATGTGGCATTTATCATTTGTACCCTATAGTGTTGCACTGTATGGCTTTACCACCGTCTGTTTATCATTCCCTCTATTGATGGACACTTGGATGCTTGCCTGTGTTTGAATATTCTGATTAAAATTGCTGAGGATATTTATTCACAAGTTTTTGGGTGGACATGTGGTTTTCTTTCTCTTGGGTAAATACTAGGAACAGAATTGCTAGTTTTACTTTTTTAAGAAACTGCCAAACCTTTTCCCCAAAGTGATTGTACCATTTACATTTTCACCAGCAGCCTATGAGAATCCTGGTTACTCACCAATATTTGGTCTTGTCAGTCTTGTAAATTTTAGCTAAGGGGCAAGTGGTGTATTCCATTGTGGTTTTAATTAGCATTTCAATTGTCAAATGCTTGAGTACTTTTCATGTGCTGATTGCAATTCATGTCTTCTTGTATGAAATTTTGGTTCAGATCTCTTGCCCAGTTTTTAATTGGATTGTTTGCTAACATACACACAAAAAAGTACAGTTTTCTTAGCTTTTCTCTATGCAGTACTTGGTAGTTATGTGTCAGTAACTCTGGAAAGTGTTTTAGACCCAGCCTCTTCTCTTCTAGAGTAGAAAATAACCAAATGTAATTTCATTTAACATACTTTGTTTCAGGATTAAAAAAAGAATCTTAGATCTATATGTTACTTTCTTAAGTCTGGACACAGGACAATGTTGAGAAAACAGGACTATCTAGGAGACAAATGACCTAGGTTCCGGTTCTCAATGTGCTCATTTAGGAACAGTGTAAAAGAGGGGATGATAATTTCTTACTTGTCACTTATGACTGTGAAGATTAAGTGACATGATGTTTGTGACAGTACTTTTAACTGTGAAGCTCCAGGAAAAATATAAGGTACTAAGAACTAGAAGATAGGCATGGAGATGTTAGCAGGGAGTTGAGGTGTCATAGGAGGAAATCAGGCCAGGCAGAAAAAAGCTGCTTGCTAATCCTTTTGTGTCTCTAAGTAGAAACAGTGTGAAAGAAAGGTGAAGTTGGATATATGCAACTTGGGTAAGAAGAGTTTCGGTTTAATGATCCTTCAGCCAGCTGGAGGTAGCACCACAGTCTCTTCAGTTACTTTTCTTTCTTTTTCTAAACCAGATACAAAAGGAAAGGCAACTCCTGCCTAGGCATTAACCCTAAGAAACAGTGTATATCTTGGGAAGGGATTTCTACAGCAAAGAAGCATTCCCACAAGCCCCTCGAACGCTATTTTACAAAGAAGAGTGTGGGATTACTAAACATGGACGGAGCTGCTGTGAGCTGTAAAAGTGAACCTCCCTCCTCGGAGCCAGTCTCGTTCATTCCAGTGAAAGACTCAGATGACGTGGCTGCTCCTGTTACAAGCTGGTTGAATCCTTTGGGGATTTATGATCAGTCAACCACGCAGTGGTTACAAGGACAGGGTCCTACAGAGCAAGAAGCAAAGCAGCCAGACTCACAGACAGACAGACAGAATGCTATTCTCAAGGCCAAGGTGGAGGAGTTCAACAGGAGAGTTCGGGAGAATCCTCAAGATATTCAGCTATGGATGGCGTTTGTAGCATTTCAGGTAAGTATCCCTGTCCTGATTCTCTTACTTTGGCATGACATTCCTGATTTGGGGCAGACACATTTATTCTGCCGCTTTTTTTTTGGAGGGGCTGGAGCTGCACCCAGGGGCTACCACTGAGCTATAGTCCCAGCCTAATTTTGAGACAGGGTCTGTCACTAAGTTACCCAGGCTTGAACTCACAATCCTCTTGCCTCCTCCTCTCAAGTAGCTGGGATTATAGGCGTGTACTACTAAACCTGGCTCTGCAGCACTTTTTAAGATGCTATAAGGAAGCCTAGTACTGGGCATATAAAAATTATTAGAATATGACCCTTGCTCTGAGTTTGCTCAAAGTCCAATGAGAGAGGCTGACACATGAGAAATAAATGCAGTCTGGTAGTAATAAATGTTATAATGTGTTATTTGGAGTTTTTTGTTGTTGTTGTTTGTTTGGCGGCACTGCTGGAGTTTGCTAGAAGGGCCCTTTTACTGCTTGAGCCACTCCACCAGCCCTGATTTTTTTTTTAAAGTCCTTACACATGCTGGGCAAGCACCATGCTTCTGAACTGCACCCAACAGAATCAGAACAGAATCTTGAGAAAAGAGTAGATGGTCATCAGGCTGGGAGAAGCATCCTGAAGTACCTAACACATAGGCAAAGCTCACAGAGTTGTGAGAGACAGGGCTACCTAGTTAGAGCTCTGTGGTCCCTTAAAATACATGGCTTTGTCTTCATCCTTCATCCTTCATTATATAACCTACTCATACACTATGTTTTATTTTGCCCCATATTTGTCTGTTTTATTGGAAAGGTTGACTCTTCTGTTTTCAAGGCATTATTATGTGCTTGCTATTGATGCATAAACCTAACTTAAGAGTATATAAGTCAATCAGGTGAAATAAAGACCCGCTATCCTAGGTGGCACAACCTCTCTAAGAAACGAGTTTTTATTAAAAGGAGTTGTAATAAATAAATGGTTATCAACTAAGTCTCTATAACATTCGTTTTGAGAGGTGGAAAACCTATTGGAGGTTGTAAAGCTATCTAAGTACTGTTGAAACTCTGAGGACCCCCGGAACCTCCCTCCCCCCATGTGCATTAGTAAGTTGTTGTTTTGTTGTTGAGGACGAGGTCATGAAGAGTCCTGGCCTGTATGCCATCGAGGAGGGAGAACAGGAGAAGCCCAAGAAGTCCCTAAAGCTACTCCTGGAGAAGAAGCTGGCTGTTCTGGAGCGGGCCATTGAGAGCAACCAGAGCAGCGTGGACCTGAAGCTTGCCAGACTGAAGCTCTGTGCAGAATTCTGGGAGCCCTCCACACTGGTCAAAGAGTGGCAGAAACTGATCTTCTTACACCCCAATAATACGGCCCTGTGGCAAAAATACCTTGTATTTTGCCAGAGCCAGTTTAGCACCTTTTCTATATCAAAAATTCTTAGTCTTTATGGCAAGTGCTTGAGTACTTTGTCTGCTGTTAAGGATGGCAGCATCTTATCTCACCCTGCATTGCCTGGCACGGAAGAAGCCATGTTTGGTAAGGAGATAACCAGATGCTGTTGCGTGGGAGGAATTTTACTTTGGTTTGGCTTTAGTTGAAAATGAGGATTTATTTTTGGTTTATTTTAGAATAGTTGAAATTGTCAGAGCTGATTTTGTTTTTAAAAAACGTGTTATAATGCTGGTTGATTATAACAGATTTCTCTGAGCTCTCAGGGTTGGTGGGTGAGGGTGTTAAAGCCAGTAGAGTTAGGAAAATACCACTGGATAAGAAGTTCTAACTTTTCTGCTTATTAACCAAGTAAACATTGTCAAATCTTTTAACTGCTTTGGCTATCAGTGTTCTTGCCTGTTGAGATGTCCAGTGTAGGTCTCCAGCAGTAATATAACATGAGATGCCCTACTGACTACATAAGTATAGGTTTTTGGTATTATTATGCTGTTAATGTTTTTGGTGTGTCCCAAAAGAGCCTAGCATAAAAATTTTGACAGTAGCAAGATATGGGAGGCAGTATATTATGCTAGAACTGGAGAATGTCACTTTTTGTGTGTGTGTGTGCTACTGGGGTTTGAACTCAGGGCCTCCTAGGCTGGTGCTCTACCTCTTGAACCACTCCTCCAGCTTTTTTTTTGTGTATGCGTATATTAAATATCTTCAAGATAGGGTCTTGTGAACTATTTTGCCTGGGCTGACTTTGAACCATGGTCCTTCTGATCTTTGCTTCCTGAGAAGCTAGGATTATAGGCATGAGTGAGTCTCTGACATCCACTCTTGAGAATGTCACTCTTTAGTTTGAATCATGGATTTGTTATTCATTGGCTGTGGTGTGACCCAGGGCAGATTCTTTAACCTGTTTGAGCACATTTCTTCATCAGGAACAATCGTATAATACCTGCTTGATAGCACAGTTGTGCACATTAAATGAGATAATGTATGGTGAGTTCAGCTCAGTGTGTGGTACATAGCAGATGTTTAGATGATTGACACTCCTGTTATCATTACTTAACATCTAGAGATATAAATACAGTGCTCTAGAAAGTGTAAGCATTTACCACACTGACATAAATAATGTCATATTTGGAGCTGAGGGTGTAGATCAGGGGTAGTGTGGTTGGCATGCATAAGACGGTAGGTTCAATGTCAACACTCAGAGTAAACAAACAAATCAGTGGGATATTTTTGAAGGCTTTTAAAAATGTTTATTTTATATACAAATATCACCTTCTGCCTTTGGTTGGATGTCCTGGAAAATGCATTCAAGGAAGATTGCTTAGTCCAACTCAATTGAAGCCAATGATTTTTGCCTTCTGACTGAAACACTGCTGGCAGGTAGTGAGCCTATTTCTGGATTAGCATGTGTTGGTTTGAGCAGCCACTGCAAAGAGTGAGAATCCTGGCCAAATTTTCACAGGTGACTCCAGTACAGCTGCTGGTGATCCCAAATTGCATGAGGTTTTTTGGTTGTTGTTTTTTTTTTTTTAAAGAGTCTCATATTTGATAATATTTGAGATATGCTTACATAGTTAAATGTTTTTTAGTAAATAGAATTATACTATAAGATGAACAGAAGTTTTCAAACATGTAATTATGATTTGTTCACAGCAGACACTGAACATATGAAAATTGCTAGTGAATAATGCCATCTAGTGATCAGTCGAGTACAGGTCTTTGCTTTCTGATAAAAATGTACACCATCCTTTTCCTACAATTTTTCTTGTTAGTGAGCTTTTGAGTATTTGACAGCCAAAATTCAGGTCAACCTCTTATTTTTATATACTGTATAGAATTTTTATGGTTAATATTTATATTCGGTAGTGGTTTAATACAAAAATTAGAAAAACTAGATTGGATTACAGTATTATTGTTAGTCCTTTTAAACTGGGACTTGTATATATTACAGCACTGAAAGGGAACAATAATCTTAGTAAGAGGTGTTCTCAGTGTTTAATAGCATGTTTTGAGAAGTTACGTTCTTTCCCTTTGTGGTACCAACAGGGATTCTCCCCTCTGCTTTCTGGTTCACAGCACTCCTCCTTCAGCAGTGCCACTTTCTGCGGCAGGCTGGCCACTCAGAGAAGGCCATCGCTTTGTTCCAGGCCATGGTTGACTTCACCTTCTTCAAACCTGACAGTGTGAAAGATCTGCCTACTAAAGTACAGGTACCAAGCTCTGCTGGCATGATCCATCTCTCTCTTTTTTTCAGAAGTATTTCACTGATCAAGGACAATCCCATAATGAAAGGAGTGAAACATAGATAAGAGAAGATTCCTCTCTTCTTCACAAATAGGAAGACTCTTTGATGTCCTTTTCTTTTTTACCTATGGCCCTTGTTTGAATGCAGGTTATCTTCACAAGTCAGGGGAACAGCTATCATGCCATTTGAAACCATAGGTCACTTTGTGCATCCTAGTCTGGGTCTTGTGTTGCTGTCACCATTAACCTTTCCACTGGCTACAGTCTTTGCCCAAGTTGCAAATGAAATTACATATGGCATTTTGTCAATACCAGTCCTCATTGAAGAGGGGTTCATCTTTTAGGTGACAAATGAATATTTGCCAGTGTTTGTTATACAAAACAATAAAAACATCTTATCATAGAGCTATGCATATAAGAAAACCTATCTCTTCCTTTTTTTCACTAAAGAAAACTTGGTTTTCTTCTGTACAAAAAGGGTCTGGTAGAAGATGGAGAGAATATCTGAATTTATGGTGACCCTTCAAAAGTCTTATTTAAGAGGCTAAGGCTCCATCATATGGAATTTTTATGAATTACCAATAGAGACCATTTTTATCATGAGGCTGCTTCTAAACAAAGTTGGATTAAAGAATCAGCCAGATAGAGCAATTTTAAGATATGCTTTGATATTTTAAGAATATACTGTGGTTCAGAAGTAATCCTTAACCAACTCTCAGGCACTGTGGATCAGAATCTGAATCTCTCTTCTTCCCATCCCTCTGCTGAGGCTCACTGTTTGTGATGACAGCTGTCACTGATGGATAGAGGGGACTGCCTATGACTGTGATGTGTCACAGTATGGAGAGACGCTGATGCACAGTCTTGAGAGCTTAAATACCAAAAGCACATGTGTTTCTGAAACATTCACGTGATAACTTTTGAAATAAAGCTTCTTATTTAACAGCATTCCATATTGGGTCTATAACAGAGAGACATTGTTACCATAAACACAGTAGCATAACATGAAACAGGCAGAGTCTGTTACCACTGGTCTGTGTTTCTGTGGGATAAACAAACTGGTTATAACCATCTATCACACTGTTTGAAAAATCCTTCTTTTTCTTGAGCGTACTTCCCCCATGACTCTTATAAGAGCAATCCTAAAAAGAAGGAATGTAGTCTTCCCAGTCCCCTTCTGAGGGTGATTGAGACACGCTTGGAGTCCAAGGCCTGTGTCTGCACACTTGCCTTGCTTTGAGTCTCCCAGGAATCACATTCCCGCAGGCATCCATGGTACTGTGCAGGCTCAGAGTGCATAATTCTGTGACTCTCTAGCTACAGTGTACCCATTGGAAACAGGCTTGGCCTCTTCAAAAGGTTTCTTCCAAAAGCTTTCACGAAAAGGAGGTCATTGGCTCACTTTTAAAGTCCTCCTGCTAGTTGATAAGAGGATCACAGTCCTGCTCAGTGCTGCATTCTTATTCTGTCCTGTGGGAAATTATTCATTGCGGCTGCACTGGTTTCTACACACTGCAGTCCTAATGTCCACATGGATGGAGGAGGGGCTCACGGGGTCAGACTTCAAAATGCAGACATGTTTTTGCTTGATGCCTCCCTTCTGCACATATGTGCATTTATTGAGTTCCTACTATGTGTTGAACACGTGCCAGATGTTAGGAATAAAGTTACCTAAGATGTGGTTGTCCCACATCTCAAGAGGTTAATTTATCCCTTTGAAACTTTGAATTCCCATCCCCTCAAAAGGTATTGAAAGCAACATGACTTTATGTATTGGTTAAGGAATCCAGTGGCACTAGAGCATCTGGCTGTGCCGCTGTCCCTGGTTAGATGGCCCTGGCAGGATGAGAACTGGGAAACCGTTCTTGTATCTAGCTGTAGGCCCTTGTCACCAGATCTTGCCAGTCTTTTTGTAACCTAATTTCTGAAGTGTCATTCCTTCACCTTTGCCATATTTGGTTTGTTAGATGTCACCAGGTCTAGCCCACACTTCAGAGTGTGCACTGAGGCAAGGGTGAGTGATGGGGGCTGTCTTGGAAGCGGTCTACCACACAGGTTAATTCTGTTTTCTGCTTTGGTTATGTGTATTATGTATTATCTTCAAGTGGGTGGCAACATTTTAGGAGTCTTATGTTCCCCTAACGCCCACCAGTACTTACTTTTTCCAATGACACAGCAGTTTTGAAAATGTTATGCCTAACTTCTGTTTTTTTCAACTTGACAGGTGGAATTCTTTGAACCCTTCTGGGACAGTGGAGAACCCCGGGCTGGGGAGAAGGGAGCCCGAGGCTGGCGGGCGTGGATGCACCAGCAGACACGTGGTGGCTGGGTGGTTGTCAATCCAGGTAAGGCATCTCCCAGTGAAGATGGTATGCCTTTGACTTCTGGTATTTGTTTTTCCATCTTCATGATTACTTATCTGTATAAGCTGCTTATCAGTAGTTTAAGAACATTGTACAAGGGCTGGTGGAGTAGCTCAAATAATAGCATGCCTACCTAGCAAGTGTGAGGCCCTGAGTTTTGAACCCCAGTACTACCAAAAAAAAAAAAAAAAAAAAAAAACCTTGCACAAACATCAAAATGTCAAAAATACATTAAGTTTTTATCATAGTGGAATAGACTGTTTCTTCTCCTGAGAGGCCTCAAAGCCGTCAACATCCTATGCGTCCAGTAACACTGTGAGAATTCAAGTTTCCAGAGGGAGGAATCTTTCTTTTTCTTCTATGAAGTTTTCCTGAAGAAGCAAACTTGTTGCTAATCTCCCCTTCTTTTTTAGTATGTATTTAAGGCAATCTTTTTTTCTTTTGCCAGTGTACAGACCAATAAAGCCTTTAAAACTCCTTGCCTTTTTAGGAGCAGTACAGAATGACTTTTAACCGGTATTTGTATAGCTGTCATTCTTCATGACCCCAAATTGCCTTACAGATTGCTGCTCCAACAAAGTTTTCTAATTTCCTTTAGAAATATAGTGTGTAAACCCAAACGTGTGCGTTCAGATCATCTCGTCACAATTTAAAAAGTAAAAACAAACAGGTGAAATTATTTTAGTAATGTTACCTAGTATTTAAAAACATAATCATTCTATCGTATAATCAGCCTTTAAAAGTTATTAACATTTTGCATCCTTTTTTCACACTAACTAAAATATAGTGTGTCTTATACTTGTAGCACATCTCAATTCAAACTAGCTACTTTTCAATGCTTGATAGCCACATATTTATGGCTATGTCTTGGCCAGCATGGTTCTTAAACATCCAGGAACTTCTTTGCTCCCTGAAAGGTGGTTCCAGCATAGAGGGAGATCTGCCAGGCAAACTCTTATTGAAAGTACCAGGGAGAATATGGTAGATGAGGACTCAAGGATGTTCGTTCCTTGCTGAGGCTCAACCTGCCTCTTCTTTCTGTCCTTAGTTTCTTCTCCTACAGCTGGGAATTTTGGATTAGGTATTGTCTGCATGGCAGTTCAGAGCTCCAGGCCAGGTGACAAGATGTTTAGAGGTTAACTTTGCTCTGGGCATCAGGTGATGCTCATGCTTCACTTGGGGGCTGTAGGAGGTGTGGCTGTTTAAATTTCCCTTGAGTATTTTTTTCCAAAAAGAGCTGGAATGGCTTTTTAGGTTAACCAGTAGCTTTCTATATGCAGGGAGTCAGCCTGCCTGGTTGAAACAGGAAAGTGTTGCACTGTTGGCCACTGGGAAGGAAATCTTAATATTAACTCTTCTTTCTCTGGGTCAGTATGGGTCTGTGCTTTAGGTTGGCTTTTGGTTTATTGATTTGTTAAGGAGGGAGAATATTATAATACACAGTGTCCATGTTACAGAGTTTGCCAAATTCTGTGTTTCTTTGGTGATAAAGTAGCATTGTCATAGCAGTATCTGGAGAATAAAGTAACATTACTTTCCTGATGAGTGTTCAGGTGTCTAATGATCACTCATAATCAAATGAAAAGTTAATTTTATCAGAATGGTGGCGCAAGTGTTGAATCCTTGGTTTTTAGTATCAAGTTAGTGATGTATATTCCCTGAGAGTTTTCCTAATTTTTCCATTATCAAGAATCTTCTACTGAATTTAATACCTTTTTTCCTAATGACTCTAATGGGAATCCTCCAAAAAAACAGCAGGACAAAGGAAAGGTTAACAGTTTTCTAGTTTCTAGGAAGCTAGATAACTGCTTTTTGTTTTTAAGTTCTCTTATCCATTTAGCAAGTAGTTAGGATTTTATATATTTTCAGGCATTTCTTTTGCATATATCACAGTTTATTTTTACTTCTTGTTCAAACTCCTGTATTTTTTTGAATTTCTGTTACATTTTGTTTGGCGTACTGGGGTTTGAACTCAGGGCCTTGCACTTGCTAGGTAATTGCTCTACCACTTGACCACAACCCTACTCCCTTTGGAAATCTAATGTAATAAATTCAGGCACCTGAATCTGATGTATAGCTCATAAGGATAATTTCTACAGATCATGTTTTAGACTGTTCAGGCTCAAAGGATTACTTTAGAAGATTATGATAAATTTTAGTTTTTTACTTTAAAAAACTGAGAAGAGTGTCGGGGTGGAATATTGGGGCCACATTATCCATTTAAATTATTGAGGTTTTTTTGTATGTCATTTAGTTTTAAATTTTGAAGTACTTGTAGGTTCACAAGAATCTGAAAAAGTATAAAAAAGATTTTCCAGGTCTCCCCCAATGATAGTGATGTGGTACAACATGCAGTTTATTCAGATTTCACTAGTCTGCTTTCATGCATTCACGCTGTGTGTGTGCATGCATGTGTGTGTACTACTAGGCAGTTTGTCATGTGTAGCTTTGTGCAGTCACATCCACAGTTACAACACAGAACTGTTTCAGTGGTAGTTAGTACATTTACACTATTGCACGGCCATTTCCTCCATCCACCTGCAGAACTCTTTTGTCTTCCCTAGCCGAAAATGTATTAGTTAACATCAGCTCTCCATTGCCCTGCTCCCTTGGCAACTGCCATTCTCTTCTTTGTCTCTGTGAATGTTTACTTTAGGAACCTCCCATAACAGGAATCATAACATTTTGTCGTTTCGTGGCTGGCTCCTCCCCCTTACCATAGTGTTCCAGGTGTCATCTGTGTTGTAGCTTGGTCAGAATTTCTTTTCCTTTGAGGGTAGAGCAATACTGTGCTGTGTGCACACCACATTTGGCTTATCCGTCCTTCTGTCAGTGGGTGGTTGGGTTGCTTCACTGTTGGCAGTTGTTAGTGATGCTGCTGTGAACATAGGTGCACAATAACTTGGAGTTCCTGCTTTCGGAGTTTTTGGGGTATATATATTCAGAAGTGGACTTGCTCAATCATATGGTAGTTGTGTTTAATCTTTTGAACTGCATACTGTTTTTATGTCAGCTCTACCACTTTATACTCCCACCATCAGTGCACAAGCCTTCCAGTTTCTCTGCATCCTCAGCAACACTTGTTTTCTGTGTAACTTTTTGAGATTGACTTCTTTCCACTTAGCACAGGTCCCCTGAGATACAGGCAAATTGTTGTTTGTATCAATAGTTTGTTCATTTTTTTTTTGCTGAGCAGTGTTCTGTGGTATAGGTGGATTATAGTTTAATTCTGTGCACTGTAGTGGGACATTTGGCTGCGATAAATAAAGCCGCCATGAGCGTTAATGTATAGGTTTTAATTAATGCATTGGTTTTCATTTTTCTGGGATCAATGCCCAAGAGGGCAATTGTGGTAGGTATGTGTCAGTTTTATAAGAAAACTGCCCAACTGTTGACCTGTGTGGCTGTACCATTTTATATACCCTGTTCCTTTTTTAATATTGAACTTTGAAGGCAACTGAGACTTTTTTTTCCTCTTCCATTCTACATGTTCAGAGTTAGGAGACAGAGTGAGATAAATACTGGATATCCTGAATTGACCTTTTTCAATGAAGTCGTAATGATAAGTAATAATTAATTATAAAGCCACTGACTGAAAATTCTGATGGCTTAAGGAAATCTTAACCAGTGCAGTCATTAAATACCAGTTAGCATTCTAAAGTTGTGTTGTCAGAACAGTAACCTCTACCTACCCGAAGCTCTTTAAAATTAAGAATTCAGATCCTAGCCAGGTGCCAGTGGCTTATGCCTGTAATACTAGCTACTTAGAGGACACAGCGATCAGGTGGATCACAGTTCAAAGCCAGCTCAGGCAAATAGTTCAAGAGATCCTATCTCAAAAATATCCAACACAAAACAGGGCTGGTGGAGTGGCTCAGGTGGTAGAACATCTCTGCCTACTAAGTGTGAGGTCCTGAGTTGAAGCCCCAGTACTGCCACATACACACACACACACAAAGGATTTAGTTCCTTTGTTAATAAGCTACATTTCAGGAGCCTAGTAAGTCACATGTAGATAGTAGCTACCGTAACAGCATAGATAAAGAGTCCTTTTATCATCTCAGGGAAGCCTCTTGGACAGTGCTGTTCTAGAATATGTCATTGAATTTTTGCTGTGATAGCATTAACAGTCATCTGGTTCTACCCCCTTAGCTGTCTGTTTTCCCTGGGATGCTCACTGCTTACACTGATCCATCTCACTGCTCTGATCCATCTCAGCATCCCAAATGCCCACATGTGCTTGGCACAGCTGGCCAATTAGGTGGTAATAGTAGTTTTATTTACTGCTTGTGTGAACTAGAAGTTTCATTCCTGCCTAGATGAGGATGACGACGAGCCAGAAGAGGACGACCAGGAGATAAAAGACAAGACACTGCCCCGATGGCAGATCTGGCTTGCTGCTGAGCATTCACGAGACCAGAGGCACTGGCGTCCCTGGCGTCCTGACAAGACCAAGAAACAAAGTGAGGAAGATTGTGAGGACCCCGAGAGACAGGCACGTACCCTCCCACGCCCCACAGGATGATGCTGACCATCAGTCTTTGTCTTCCTCTCATTCCCATTGTGGGTGATTTTCTGAAAGGAGCTTGCTGGGTGCCCCTAGAGCTGGTCTAGGAGATGTTGGTCCACTCCTGTCCAGATCTGGGAAAACTTCCCTCTTGGCCAGCATCAAGATGGAATTTTGTGACTGCTGTTGATGGGTGAGTATATGAGCACTTGACCCAATAGTTTCTGCCTTGCAGGAGGGTAAGCTCTTGTGATCATCCTTCTGGAGATTGCCTTCTAGGTCATTCAGTTATTTTTTCATGTGAAACCCTGTGGCCTCAGGTTCTAAACAGGTCTTGGAATTTTTGTGTCCATTCTCTTACCCCACTCTTGGGTCCATGGAGGTGTAGCAGTTACAATTGACCCTGTAAGTCAAAAGTGGCGGAAGTGGAGGCCACATTGGGGCAGTCAGCACTCACCTTATCTTGATGAAGGAGGAACTGGTGTTGACTGAATGTCTGTTGAGCACCAGGTTCTTCACCTTTGTGGTCTCATTCACTGTCATTATGAGCTTTGGTATATGCTGCTCCATGTTCAGCAACCAGCAGCTCTGGAGTTTTAAATTAAAATGAAGGATGAAGTGCTATTTTGATTCCTGGAATTGGCCCAGTTTCATAAGATACCAACTCTGTTTCTTGCTGTATGACATGTGACAGGTACAGATCAAGAGGTTTTCTCTGTAATGAGGCTCTGTGACCCTCCCTGCAAGTAAGGTGTCTTGAAGGTGGAGGTTTTGCTGCTCTTGTTCACCGCTTGTCACCTGTGTCTGGAACAGTGCTCGCCCTGTGGGGAGTGCTCAGGTCATGAGTGCTCTTGAATGTTGGAGGGATATTTGATGCCAGAGCGTGAAGGCTCCAGAGTACTGGCTACATTTGAGGGGTGACAAATGGGGTGACTGGAATTAGGACACAGAGAAGTGGGGAGAGAGAAGGAGGAAGAAGCCACTTCCAGGGAAACTTCAACCCACTGGCCTGTTGTGGGAGGTGTCTGCTTGGGAGGCTCCTTCGCTACTGAAGCTGAATGTTCAGAGGAGGGCAGATTTTCTTTTGATGTTTTAAGATTTTATATAGTTCTACCTTTTAGAAGTTGGTCCTCAAGGTTCAGAATTCAGCTTCTCCTGGAAGCTGATTTTGTAGTGGACTGCTCATGTGAGCAATGTCTTGTCATTTAGATTTTTCTCTAAAGCTGGAAAGAGAAAAACTCTCTGATTAATTGATGGTTTGATTTGTTGGGTCCCAGGAAGTCCAGGTTCATTGTGCTTATGTTCTTATTTCCTCTGCTAAGAGCCACAGAGACCATTCAGACAAGGAGCACCTCGAGACAAAGGGTAGTATCTTTGTCTGTTAATTTAAAAATAGTTACATGAAGTCAGCATGAACATTTACAGTTAATATTAGGCTCCTTTAATTGCTCTTCACACAGTTGTTGTCCTGTTGTTTCCTTCGTACCTTGTGCTTGTGTGTCTTCAAGCAGTTTTCATTTCCTGGAGCAAATGTGTACAAAGAAATCACAAATAGTAAATCTTCCATCCTAAAATCAAAAGGTTTCCCAACTATAGTTTGTCACAGTAACCATAAAGCAATTGTCAGTGCTTCGTGAAGTGAGCATGGCTAGCTTTTCTGTCACTAAGCAGGATGCTTTGAAGCTGTTGACCCCTCCTCCACTCCTGGTGCTTCCCTGGTTGGGGCGAGTGCTAATGGTATCCCAGGGATACTAGTTCTCTGGCTGTCCAGGTTGTCCTGGGAAGCCTCTAGCACCTCTGTATTTTGCAGGAAACATCTCCTGTCTAATAATTTATTTTAATTTGAGTAATGTTGACTTATTAGCACATCCACATAAAGAGAATTGTGCAAGGTTGTTAGAGCTATAGTTTGCTCATGAAACAGGTTACTGTGTTTTGCCTTTGTTGCAGGTGTTATTTGATGATATCGGGCAATCGCTGATCAGACTTTCCAGCCAAGATCTCCAGTTCCAGCTGATTGAGGCCTTTCTGCAGTTCTTGGGTGTGCCTTCTGGCTTTGTTCCTCCAGCTTCGTGCCTCTACCTGGCCATGGATGAGAGCAGCATCTTTGATAACGGACTTCCTGATGAAAAGCCCTTGACTTACTTTAGCCTTTCATTCTCGGGCATCAGCAGTGTTGGCCACATGGACCAGTTAGGCTGTCCTCGCTGGACCCAGGGTCATAACCGAGAGGGCGAGGAGTTCATTCGAAATGTCTTCTACCTTGTGATGCCTTTGTTCTCAGGGAAGCAAAAGTCTCACCTCTGCTTCTCCTGGCTACGGTATGAGATTGAAAAGGTAACTCCAGTCATCTCCTCTCTGTTAGGGGCCTTTTCATTTCACATCAGTGTTATAAATGGGATTTCAAGACCCAGAGTGCTCCTGGGTTCTCTTCCTTTGGTGGCTCCTGAAGGCACCATGGGAACTGAAGGAAGAGGAGGAAGCAGGAGCCAGTCTGGTGCTCAGTGGCCAGAGCTGTCTGTTGTGTGGAGTCTTGTCTCACCAGATGCCTGTGATGATACAGGCACTCAGTTTTAAGAACCAATGAAAGCTTAAGTGGGGTTAGACGATTTAGGGCTTATTAGAATAGAGAAAATAAGCTACTTATTTATCCTGCACTTTATAGCCATCAGCCAGTTTTCTGTGTCTAGCCACTGCCTGCTCTCTGCTGGCCACTGTTAGTATCAGCTCACCTACAGCCTACGCACACCAAGTTGGCTTTTTTTTTTTTTGTTTGGGTATAAATGGAATTTATTAAAAGTAAGGGACAAGAAATACAAAGGGAAGCATGCAGAAGCTAGAAGCTGAGAGAAACCAAGTTGTTTTAAAAAAGTGTCTTTGATAAAATGTGGTGGCCACATCTCTTCAGAGAAAAAAATTTGTTAGAGATTTCAAGTGAAAACCTGGATGTGTTAATGTTGCACCTGTGACCTTGGTAAAATGCTGATAAAGGACGAATAGAAATGCCTTGGTTGTCAGTGCTTTCTGAAGTTGACAACATAAGGGGATTATTTGGAAATTACAGAGCACCTAGAGCCATTCTTTTCTTTTTGCTTGTAGGTCATTTGGTGTCTACATACTAAAAACAAGAAGAGATTAAAGTTCCAGGGGAAGAACTGTAAAAAATTAGCCAAGAATCTCCTGAAGGAGCCAGAAAACCGCAACAACTTTTGCCTCTGGAAGCAGTATGCACATCTGGAGTGGTTGCTTGGCAACATAGAGGATGCCAGAAAAGTTTTTGATACAGCACTCAGCATGGCAGGCAGCAGTGAGCTGAAGGATCGCGAACTCTGTGAGCTCAGTCTGTTGTATGCTGAGCTAGAGGTGGAACTGTTGCCAAACTCAAGAGAGACCGCCCCGGCCCGAGCTGTGCATATCCTAACCCGACTGACGGAGAGCAGTCCCTATGGGCCCTATACTGGGCAGGTTTTGGCCATTCATGTTTTAAAAGCTCGAAAGGCATATGAGCATGCTCTGCAGGAATGTCTGGGTGAGAGCCCTGTCTCCACCCCACGTCCTGATGAGTCCTTGGATTGCTTGAGTAGCTTGGTCAAATGCTTTATGTTCTTCCAGTATTTGACTGTCGGGATTGACGCTGTTGTGCGGATATATGAGCAGGTATTTGCCAAACTGAAGGGCTCTGTTTTGCCAAAAGGCCCTGGCCTGGAGGACAGTGCGTGCTCTCAGAGTTTGACCAGTGTTCTCGAAGCCGTCACCCTGATGCACACAAGTGTGCTGAGGTTCCACATGAAAGTCAGTGTTTACCCTCTGACTCCGCTTCGAGAGGTGCTCTCAGAGGCTTTAAGGATGTATCCGGGCAACCAGGTTCTTTGGAGGTCCTACGTACAGGTTCAAAATAAGTCCCACAGTGCCTGCAAGACCAGAAGATTCTTTGATTCAATCACCAGGTCTGCTGAACCCTTAGAGCCTTGGTTGTTTGCTATTGAAGCTGAGAAAATGAGGAAAAGTCTGGTGGAAACTGTTCAGAGGTAATTACAGGCCGTCATGGTCATGGGTTTCACAAAGCTTGGTGGATGTTGCTGTGTTCCCACCCCCTTGCCAAGTCTCAGGAATTCAGAAGTGGACAGGCACAGGACCTGGAACCCTGGCTGTGTGTGCTCCGGGTGTTGTAAGATGAACAAGAGGCTTAGAAGGTAGAAACACTCCTCATTAGAGGCTCTATTGTCTGTCTTCCCAAGAGCCTGAATGTTGCTTCTGGTGTGCATCTGGTAGGCTGTCAGGGTGTCCGAGAAGCTGAAATGAGAGCACTATGGTTAAGAGCACAGGCTCTGGAGGTCAGCTCTCTAATTCCAGGGCTGACTCTGCCACTTACTGCTAGGTGACCTTGTGCATCTCAGGCACTTCACCTCTAACAGGTTCCTCCTCTGTCAAATGGGAGTAATTAAAGATTCTACGTCCTAGGAATCTACTCCTAGGGGCCAGTGAGGTAAGCGCTTTGCATAAAGACAGGTAATTGCTAACTTCTCATAGTATTGTCACTGAGAATACTGGCATGATTTTTGTGGCGGGGTTGACACAGTGTGTTGCACATGAAGGTTAAATGATAGTCTTGGGAACATACTCGTTTAGGCACCAGTGTTCTTTATGGAACCTTTCTTCACTCCAACTTTATTAACTAGGCAAAGTTGCCTTTGAACAGTATTTCATTTTGCTTATTTCTTATTTCTTCAATTGAGAATTTTTTTATTTACTTCAATGGAGTCTTACTTTGTCTACTTTCCAGAGAGTAGAATGTGCATTCTGATTCAGGGCAGGTTTCTTTAGAAAACAGAGAAGCAAAGAGTTCATGTGTGACTCCTAGACAGGCTCCATGTGGTGTAGAAAGCACTGCATCCTGGCTGTTGTCTTACTCTGGCCTTGGAGAAACCACATCATTCCTGAGTGAGGCACAGTACTCCAGTGACTCTTTCTGATGTAGTTGGGTCCCGCCCTTTGTCATCACTAACCATCCCTTCCTGCTATGATGGAGGGAAAGAACTTGTCTCAGAGTTACATGAGCCCTTGCCTTGCAGGGTAGGTGGTAGAGAGATCCATGTCACCATCCCTGAGACGGGCCTCACACATCGAATCAGAGCCCTCTTTGAAAATGCAATTCGGAGCGACAATGGCAGCCAGTGCCCCTTACTATGGAGGATGTATTTGAAGTTTTTGGTAAGAAAACACTTTGGTTTTCTGTTTTCATTTTGACAAAGTTCTGCTTTTTCCTTCAAAAGTGAGAAAGTGCTGCCACCTGGCTGGGAAAGGTGGGAGGGCCTCATTTTCATTCTCACACGTTATTGGCATTTGTTAAGCATTAGGAAACCTGATGGAATAATGTCAGGTTTCTCAGGACTTGGGAATGGGGTACAGGTTGCATATTTACTCAAGATTCTTGATAATCTGAGTGAAATTAAGGAGTAAAATTACTGGACTTTTTGGTGCAGTAGAACTTAATGCTGCTTTGTCTGAGTTGACTTTATTCAGTAGATAACTTGGAAAATGGTCTAAGAGTTTTCATTTGAAATTCACTTGAATTTTGTTTGAAATTCTCTGTGATTCATAAAAATTTGTCAATTAGATTCCATTTTACTATTTTTATTTTATTTGGTTTATTTTTTTAATTTAAATTCTTATTTTATTTGTTTTGAGTACCTGGTGGTACTGGAGATTGAACTCAAGAACTTAGGCTTCCTAGGCAAGTGCTCTACTACTTGAGCCATGTCCCCACTCCCTTTGCTTTTAGTTTGTTTTTCAGGAAAGGGGTTGGATTAACTTTGCCTGGGCTGACCTCAGACCACGATCCTCCTATCTCTGTCTCCCAAGTAGCTTGGATTATAGATGTGAGTCATTTTACCTAGATCTAGAATGTGTGTTTTAAAGTAGACATTTCCAAAGCAGCTTTGCGTTCCATTAAAAGCACCATGCTGATTGACTGTGATGCGACACCGTTTAATTTTGTGAATGGAGTTGTGCAGAGTGAAAGATGGTTCTTTGACTTCATGGACTGAGTTAAAGGTCTGATGTTGGGATAGACTTCATTTACTATCATACATGTTCTTCTAAGCTGCATGTGTTTTAGCAACATAGTTTTCTAGGCCTCTTGCTTATTGTCTTAGTTCAAGGCTACTTAGGCATATCCAGATGACCTCCAGTGAATATTGTACCTTTTAGAAGGTATCAGGAGTGACCTCCTTTATTTACAAATCATTTGTGTGTGTGTATATATACAATTCCTATAGGATAAATTCTCAAAACTTAATTACAATATTTGAGTATTTCCATTTGCTATGTGACAAAGCTGAAGTGTAAAGAGAGAGATACAGAGAGTGAGTGAGAGGTTAGGAGAAGTTTGGGCCTCTCTCTAACGCTTGTCTTAGATTCCAGAAGTCTCCTGGGTATGCCTCCCTAATAACCTTTGAAAGGGGCAGGTGCTGAAGGCCCGAAAGACCCAGAGGACACCTTACGTCAGAACAGCCATTCATTGGCTTGTCCAGGAAAAGTGGGCACATTCATGGGGGCAGAAGTTGGCATCAAAAGTGAATTGTTACAAAAATGTGCATTTTCCCCACACTTATTCTTTAGGCCCAGATGCTCAGGTTTTATGCTTGACTCCCTTGTGTGAAACAGAAGCATTAAGGGGTCTTGTGGTGGGATGGTGTTCGTGGTGTGCTCAGGGCTTGTAAGCAGGGCACTCATGGTACATAGTCAGGAGCACTGGGCTTTCCTCAGAGTTCCTTCTGATTTTCCAGCAGTAATACTCTGTCGGTCTTTATAAGCAAATGAGAGCATTTGATTTCAAAGGGAATAAATAGCTTGCAAATTTGCCGGTTTCACTTCCCAAGAATTTTGGGTAGAGATACAAGGAAAGGTACAAATTTGCAGTATTTTTACTGAGATTCTGCCATGAGCCAGATTTGGGGAGGCTGTATACAAAAAAAAATTGCCGTTGACTTTGAAAGAAAAATCTGGCCCCTTGAGGAACTTGTGTCTTTTTGAAATAGTGTTGGAATGAAGGACTAATTAGAGTAGTGACTTCACCTAGGAGTTCTGAGGTATTGGGTGGGCTCCTAGCCCTTTGTTAATGAGACACAGTGAAAAAAAACAAATTAGGGCCCAAATGCAAGGTGGGACAATGCCAGGAGAGGACAAGAGCATGGGGCCATTGTGAAAGGCTCAGACTCTTGGGAGGAGGCGGTTTGTTTGCCTCTGCATTGCAGTCTTCTGGTGGAAGTGTGGATAGACATGCTTGCATGCAAGTTGCTTCTCGATTGATTGTTTTTTCTCTGAAAAAATGTTTGGGGGAATTAGTCTTTACTGTTGACCATGGAGAATATGGGGAGAGAAAGGAACTGAACAAACAGCAGTCAGAATTTTCTTTTCAGGTAGAAATTTAGCGAGTTTTAGATGAGAGTTACCAATGGTCTGTTCTGCACACACATAACGCTTTCAGACTTTTTGTTGTGGTTTGGCTAAAGTTGCACAATAAAGAAGGAAATGTAAGTAGATAAGCTAGCCAGCCGATTTCACAGGACTGATAAAAGAAGTCTTGCTACATAAAATAGAACAATGGCATTTCTAGGTTATTAACCATTGGATTTTTTTTTTTTAACTCTCCAGTATATATAATTTCTTGTTCCATCTGTTGGCAGCTAGCAGAAGTTAGGCCTTTACAAGGCTGTTAGGCGGGAAGGCTCTTCAGCTGCTGTCCCCGGGTGAAGTAGTGCACGTTTTCCGAGTGTCAGTCTCCCCTCAGAAAGACGCAGAGAGGAAGTATTAGAGAGAGGTGTCTTTTTTTGTTTGGGGAGGGAGATGTCAGTTTTTTTAATGGCTTTAAAAATTTGTATGACCTAACAGTTGCTCAGATGTGTTTGCAGTGAAGTAAGAAAAGAGAATCAAACATTGCAGAAGTCTGACTTCCAGCCTTTCATTTTCTTAGAGATATTATTGTTTCCTCATCTGGAGGTGTCACACATCAGCTAGGAAGGAGCAGAAATGGCAAAACAAGTGATTACTAAACACTAAACAGCTTCTCAAAATGGAGAGCCCTAACACTTGCTACCTACAGCTGTGGCTGGCCATAGCAACTGCCACCTGTGCCACCACTGATGCTCTCCCTGTCTGTGGAGGGGAGAGATTAGTGCTCAGCCCAGGTGTGACTCCCTGCACTTGTCCACAGCAGCTTGTGTTTACTGCCTGCCTCATGTGGTGCCTGTGAGTTCTAGGCTTAGCGTGGAGGCTGTGTGGCCTTTGTATAAGAGTCTCCTTCCCACACTCCAGGAGGTGGTGGTGGGTGGAATCAGACACTTACTCAAAGACAGTAATCATGGGGGCGAAACCATTTTGCCCCCACACTGAATGAGTTTTGCAAAAGAGAAGCTTATTCACAAGGTGGCTGAGTGTGGAAATGGGAGACACACATCTCAAATCCTCCGCAAGATAGGGTTTGGGGATATTTATGGAATAAAATAAATGAGCACTCAGGAGGCTGAGACAGGAGGACGGAGCGTTTGAGGCTGGCTTGGGCTGCTTAGAGAGGCCCTGTCTCAAACTGAAGAAGCAGGGTGGTCAGAAGTATGGGGAAAGGTGATTGGAGGGGAGGAAAATCAGTCATCTGCACAGTGTAATCTGATTTCACAGCTCTAATAGAACACGTTTGGAAAATGGCTGTGTTAGCATGATCGGAGGGTAGAGTTTTCAACTTCCTGATTTCAAAAGGTCACCCATTGGTCACCTGCTTAGGCCCAACTGAAGAGTCCTGATTTCAACAAAAATAGCCTCATGTCTCAAAAATGTTACTTAGACAGACATTATCGGCATGACCTCCACATCGTCAGATGCTATCTGTAGCTAAGCTTGTGGGCGACTAATAATACATAACTCAGCATTGTGCCCTGCAGAACTTGTGATTTTTAAGCTAACTAAAAATAAGTAACTAAAGGTGGAGAAAGGGACTTAGTGTCAGAGGAGTGAAGAATACAAAGGGTTGCTTAGTAGAAATGAGGCCAGGCAGCTGTTTGCTGGCTGGTTACCAGAGTTAGGGTTCTGTCCTCCTGTGGAGTCTCTGAGACTGAAGTCTTCTTTTATGGTTACTTTCCTGAGAGTGGCTCTCAGGTCCCTGATAATTCTGAGCTGCACAGGATCCATATTTACAATGGTCAGTCTTCTGTTGGTGAGTGCCCCAAGGGCTTGGTTGTAATAGCAGCTCTGCTCCTTCATTAGCTGTGCTTTTTTTGGTTCTGTACAGCCCAGTTAGTGCCTTGAGATGCCCCTGGTCTGCCTGAAGAGACACATTTACCCAGTTACAGTACATGGTGACAGGAGTGCCATGGGAACTCCAGGAGAGTTCAGACCTGACAGGATTTTACGAGGAGCCTCAGTCATCAAGATGAGACAATTAAGATGAGGAAGGAAGGCCAGGAGAACCAGGTGGCATCCATGAGCTTTCCTTTCATTCGAGGCTCCTCTCTAGTCACAGGTGAAGGTATGCACTTAGACTGAAATCATGGATGGAAAACAGTCACCACCATGCTGTCACCTGGCATTGAGCTTTTCCACACCTGATATGGCAAAGGCATCCCCCTATGGCTGATTGAGGGAAGAATCACCAGAGAATCATTCTTATTTGAGGCTAGTCAAGCATGGGCCTGGATTTGTTGGGTTTCAGGACTAGCTGTACATGGCTGAGAAAGAAAAGTAATGCAATTTTTCTTTCTTCTTTCAAAAAAGAAAAGGCTTAGTTTAGTGAGTATTTGGGAGAGGGCGTTGAAGCGTGTTGGTTGTAAACTCAGAGGTCCAGCCTCAAGACGGCTCACTGAAAGGACTCACAGGAGTCCCTTGAGCCATGCAGCTGGTTCTTGGAGAAGATGGGGAAAAAATTGAGCCTTGCCTGAAGCAGTCTTCCCCAGAAGCTGCCTCTAACCCAAGCTATTGTCCCTGTGATATGGGAGTGAATCTTGAACAATGGAAAAGAGTGTGAGGCCATCCTTGGTAGATGGAGTTCCTTGAGCTGAAAATTGGAATCTCTGGATGCCATGGTCCAGGTTTCTGGGAGGTTAGTCAGCAACCCTATTGGTCCTGTGCTGGGTGCTGAGTGCCCACTACATGGCTGGGAAGAGCTGGTGTCCCCTGAAACAGTCTTGAGGGAGGAAAGGTCAGGAGGAGGAGGGCAGATGGAAAAGTGCAGAGGCTGAGCTCTACCAGAGCTCACACCCTCACAGCTACATGCACTTCTTTCCTTCCTTCCTTCCCTCCCTCCCTTCTTTTCTTCCTTACAGCAGGCCGCTCCACAGACATTCAGCCTAGATTGTAGGCATAGAGAGAATAGCAACAGGGTATCCCCAAGGCAAAGTAGCCCCTAGACTAAGACTTCTAATCTCTGTATAATTCCAATTTTAGTGTATGTGCTGCTGAAGCCAGCACTAGACTGAAGTTTCTGATGAGACATCATACTTTTAATAAGAAAAAAGCAAATAGGTGAAGCTTTTTAATTTTTATTTATTATTTTTCTTTGTGATGAGGTCTCAGTATGTAGTCCAGGCTGTCCAAGCACTCATGGTGCTAGTTCTGAAATTACCAGGGTCTCACTTGGTTGTCTCATTTTTCTAAAAGATAATTTTCATAAAATGGCAAATATTAAAACATATTTTCTCATTTGTACAAGGCCATCATCCTCATCTCACACGGTCTTGTTTCAGATACTGTTACTAACATAGAGGTGATGGCTCCCAGTAAAGGAAATACAGGGTTTCAGGAGCCTGAAGTGTTAAACACCGTCACCCTGGGTCTGTTGGTGGAAGAGAAATAACCCTGACCCCACTGTAGGCCTGAGAGGGTTCTCTGGTAGCTGGGTACCCTTCTCATTGGCTACCATGATGGCGTGAGGCCACAAAGGCTGAGTGGCAACAGCGAGGGTCACATGTAGAACATACAGGAGAGGTTTTTTTTTTTTTTTTTTTTTTTTTAAATAGCCGTTGCCTTTCTGCTTCAGCTGATAACTTTTTTATTTCCCCTGCCTCAGGTTTCCTTAGGAAATAAAGAAAGAAGCAAAGGTGTGTTCTATAAAGCACTTCAGAACTGTCCTTGGGCAAAAGTAAGTTCTAAATGCTGTGGTGTCTACTACCAGGGACTTCCCCGTCTGGCCCAACCCAGTGTCATCAGGGATGTTCAGCTCTGGGGATGGCCCACTCAGGGCCTTTGCTAGTGCAGATGTCCCCTGTGGAACAGAAGCCTTACAGCACTTATCTCCTTTCCCGGCACTAGAGCTGGTGCTTTCTGGGAGCATAGCTGCAGTTAGCTGCTTTCCCAACATCTCCCCCCGAGTTCAGCCCAAATGCTGAAAGAGTTGGGATCTACGTCCCATTCAGGTCAGGAGACCGTCAGAGACCAAGCTGATGGTGACTACAGTGTCTGCCACCCCTCTGGCCCCATGACAAGACTAGGCCTCACTTGGCATTAGTGACTTTCATCTGCTGCTATGGGTTTGGTGGCTCCTGGACATGCTGTGCTGCCTGAGCCAGGAAACCACAGAGGGAGTGCAGGCTACCTCGGGAGGGAGGGAGGAGGGAGGAGGGGGGAGATGGGGACAGAGGGTAGGTGTGCTGGGCCCTGCTTTTTCCTCAGAGCTCTTCCATGCTCTCTAGGAAGTACTGGTGATGAATCTGGACATTTCTGTGCTAGGTGTTGTACATGGACGCTGTGGAGCATTTCCCCAACGAGCTGCAGGAGATCCTGGATCTTATGACAGAGAAGGAGCTTCGTGTACGCCTGCCTGCAGAGGAGCTGGAGCTCCTACTGGAGGACTAGAGAGTGGGCCATCTGCCTGTGGGCTGGGAGCAGAGGGTGGACACTGGAGTGTGGTCTCGCAAGTGTTTCTCTATATTTGTGTCTGGATGCGTAAATGACACAAATGCTATTGTTTTACATATTATATATGTGACTGTGTACATGCATACAGAGATGAACAATTATGTCAATGGTGATGAAACCATTTGGGGTTGAGGTGTGCACAGCTTCCTCTTTCTTGTCCCCTACCCAGCAAGCACTGGCCCTGCCATACTGCCCATATAGCCCTTGGTGGTGTCCTTGGTCCTGCCAGGCCCTCTTGAGTTTGGAGTCACAGGATCATCTCCTATAGACAGGTCAGTAGAAGAGCAGACAATCTTCAGTCCAGTACAGTGGAGGGTCATTTAACATTCGGTGTCCTGTCCTGAGTCAGGAGTGTGGCAAGGTGCTCATTTCCTAAGCCCTATGCTGGTGATATCTGCCTTTGTGGACCAGCAGAATCCTCTGGAACAAGTGAGCTTGGACTCCAGGCCCACCCTGTGCAGCAGGGTCAGAATCTGCCATTTTCCAGAGCCAGCTGCTGTGTGCGCAGCGAGGCATGCATGGAAAGCAGGAAGCTTGCTGGTGACTCCAGTCCAGAGGAAGAGCACAAATCACCACCACCAGTTTCCCACCCAATCTATTCCCCAGTGGTAACCTGTACCTTGGGAGCCTGGAATGGCATGAGAGTGGGCAGGGAAACCCTGAGACATGATGAAGCAGCTTCTCACATCAACTACTGGCATATTACTTGCTGTGTGGGAAGAAGGTTAAAATGAAAATGTAGGATTTGCTATGGGTAGAGCAGTTCCTTGCCTTCTAGCATAATAGGTTCATCTGGCACCTGACCTGCTCAGCCCTGGATCAGTGCAGCTCCACATGAGCTGTTGCTGTTCCCAGGAGTCCGTTTGGATTATCTTTTCCTAAGAAGCCTTGCTCCCACACTCCCACCACCATTTGACCATATGTAATCTATCTCCCCTTTGCTGACACCATCCAGTCCTGCATGCCCTCCTCACCTTCATGGCCCCCAGGGATGGGTACCCTCAGGAATGCTCCTTCACCCTACCTATATGCCACTTCCCTGTACGGGGTACCCCAGCCCTATACCTGCACCCTTCTCACCACACCTGGCTGGCATCCTCACCCTGCCTTTTAGCTTCTCCATGTGGACAGCCCACCTTCCCACAGGTACACTGTCCCCATCCACATCTGGATGTCATTTGTGGTAGACAGAATGGCCCCAAAGATGTCCATACTATAAGCCTTGGAGCCTACACATGGCCAGAACTATGCAAATGGAAATTCTTTAAAACAGGAAGGTTATCCTGGGTTATCTGGGTGGTCCAATGTAGTCATGAGGGTCCTTAAGAAAAGGAAGGCAGATGGGAAGACGAAAAAAAAGGCAGGGAAGCTTAACCTGTTCTGGCTTTGAGGATAGAGGAGGCCTGGAGTCAGGAGGAAGGGTGGGCTTTACAAGTTGGGAAAGGTCCTCAGTGACAGCCAACCAGGAAGTGCTGACCTCAGCCCTACAACTGCAGGAAACTGAATTCTGCCAATCCCATGTCAAGAACTGGGTTCTCCTTAGAGCCTCCAGAAGGAACACAGTCCTGTCAACATCATGACTTTAGGTGTCTTTTAACCTATGGAACTGAGATAAATTTGTATTGTTTTACTTGTTACGGTGGCAACAGAAAACTAGTACACAGGCCACCCTGCCCCTCAGTGAACTTTTCAGAAAGGAAAGAAGTAAAGAAAATAAGAAAGGGAAGCTCTCACATTCTTGAATTCTGTTTAAAGTGATGAGGTTCTGAACCCAGGAAGACAAGGTTGGGATGAGAGTCTTCCCCCAACCTTCTGAGGTTTCTTTTAGTAGCTCTAAGTCTCTTAAGAACACCCTCGTCTCCGCCACACCTCCACCCCCCAGCATGTGAGCACCTGTGTGGTCCACAGCAGGAAGCTGCTTCCTTCTCTATAGGCAACATGCGAGCCACATGAAGTCAGCCTTTATTATTCAAACAATTATCACTGGCTCTGTGGCTCTTATCTTACCTCTCCCCCACTACTGTGACACCAATGCCTTTGGGGTTTGAAGTGTGGGTCCACTGTGATTGCCCAGAAGCTTCCCTAGAGCTGGATCCCAGCCTGTTGCAGACCGCACACAGACTGTGAAAGAGCACACTTTATTGGGAAGCAGAGAGCAGCACAGCACAGTGACCAACACATGGAGCTCGCCTGATGGGTGTCCTGCATGTCATACTCCAAAAGACACAGAGTAAGTTTTGTAATAAAAATCAACTGACATCTGAATTCCTCAGGGCATCTTCCCCAACCTCATCCCTCTCTGACTAGGAAAATTTCCACTTTCCTGAAGGCAGTTGTAGTTCTCTAGAGGTAGAGTCCCTCAGGGGTGCCTTCTTGTTTTTTATAGAGAACATTTTCTTTAGATTTTTTGAAGTCTTCATTTGTTACTTTCATTCTGCGTTCTCTCAAGGCCATCAGACCAGCTTCTGTACAGATTGCCTAAAAGAAAGAACAGTATGTTCAGAAGGTGAAATGCTTATTTTTATCTTAAGCAATTCAAAGCTATTTTGAAATGAAGTATAAGACAATCTAGAGAGCTATTCTGAAATAAGGTATAAGACAGACTAAACAAATTGCTCATTTGGGAACAGATTATTTTTTAAAAAATATTTTAAGCATCCTAATTATTTTTTTTTCATTTTTATTATTCATATGTGCATACAAGGCTTGGTTCATTTCTCCCCCCTGCCCCCCCCCTTACCACCCATTCCGCCCCCTCCCTCTCCCCCCGCCCAATACCCAGCAGAAACTATTTTGTCCTTATTTCTAATTTTGTTGTAGAGAGAGTATAAGCAATAATAGGAAGGAACAAGGGTTTTTGCTGGTTGAGATAAGGATAGCTATACAGGGCACTGACTCACATTGATTTCCTGTGCGTGGGTGTTACCTTCTAGGTTAATTCTTTTTGATCTCACCTTTTCTCTAGTTCCTGGTCCCCTTTTCCTATTGCCCTCAGTTGCTTTAAGGTATCTGCTTTAGTTTCTCTGCGTTAAGGGCAACAAATGCTAGCTAATTTTTTAGGTGTCTCACCTATCCTCACCCCTCCCTTGTGTGCTCTCGCTTTTATCCTGTGCTCATAGTCTAATCCCATTGTTGTGTTTGCCCTTGATCTAATGTCCACATATGAGGGAGAACATACGATTTTTGGTCTTTTGGACCAGGCTAACCTCACTCAGAATGATGTTCTCCAATCCATCCGTTTACCAGCGAATGATAACATTTCGTTCTTCTTCATGGCTGCATAAAATTCCATTGTGTATAGATACCACATTTTCTTAATCCATTCATCAGTGGTGGGGCATCTTGGCTGTTTCCATAACTTGGCTATTGTGAATAGTGCCGCAATAAACATGGGTGTGCAGGTGCCTCTGGAGTAACCTGTGTCACAGTCTTTTGGGTATATCCCCAGGAGTGGGATTGCTGGATCAAATGGTAGATCCATGTCTAGCTTTTTAAGTAGCCTCCAAATTTTTTTCCAGAGTGGTTGCACTAGTTTACATTCCCACCAACAGTGTAAGAGGGTTCCTTTTTCCCCGCATCCTCGCCAACACCTGTTGTTGGTGGTGTTGCTGATGATGGCTATTCTAACAGGGGTGAGGTGGAATCTTAGTGTGGTTTTAATTTTAAGCATCCTAATTATTTTGTGAAAGGATCATAGATGGCTTAAGCTAGGAATACTTATAACCAAGAAAGAGGACTGGCCCAGGAATCAAGGATAGAGTTTCTAGGTTTTTGTCTCAGATTCTAACAAGCTATGTGGCTTGGTGGGCAGGTCAGTAAATTCTTACAGATACACTTTCATTAATGGGCATATTATTACTAAAAAATTATACCCTAAAGACAAAGACAGTTGAGAGTATATGTATGTCCATTTCATTTTGCTATAGTCAGAACATAGATATGCTGGCTAGATACTGCTATTCACAGGTACATAGTTCCAAGGAGACACCTTGAAGGACAAGCTGCAAATGCCCAGGTTGCACAGAGCTCAGCACTGTGCTGTGTGGATGCTTGATTCATTTTGCCCATAATGCTGCCCAACAAACCTAAAATTCTCACTTTATCACTTAAACTAAGCACATTACTTTTATCTTAAATAAAGCACATTACTTTTTGGGGGAAGGCATAATTTCACAAAATTAAGAGCATGGAAACATTCAGCAGATCTCACAACGATTTAAATGCAACTGATGATAATGAGGGGCTGAGTTGAGAGTTTCTCTGAGTCAGCTGAGTTGCACAATGCACATGCAAGAATTTAAGATTTGTTTTTGAAATTTCTTTGGATTTTTAAAAATGCATATTATTACACTTGGTCAAGACCACGTGTGATTATTCCGTGAATAAGGGAGGCCTGCTATACTTTAACTTGGAGTATTTATTCTATACGTTTTCTCAAAAATTACTTGCCAAAAGTAAAACAAAAACATTTGCAAAGTATGCAACAAAAATAACTAATCTGGCATTGAAATTTCTTTTGGTGATGGCTATAAGGTTATTTATTTCAAACGTTCAGCAAAAAAGGTAGATGTGCTTGTGCATAGCAACACAGCACACAGGTGAGTAAAATATCAGTGCTCCTGATAAAGCTAGGTGATGAGGATGTGGGTGTACCCCATACTGTGTGGTCCCATTTCTGAAGGTTTGAAAATTTCAAAATAAGTTGATGTACAAATGAAAAGATAATTTCAATTAGAAGAAAAGGAAGATAGATTTTTCTCACCAACAGGCCACTAACCTAGTTCTCTAGGACTGATTCCAATGATTTGGAGGCTCAATGTGGGCACTGGGCTGGAAAAACCCTATGCTGTTCCTATCTAATCACAGCATTTGTACCAGTGAAGACCAGATCTCCTCAGGGAGAATGGTCTGGACCTACATTCACTGCACCAGGCCTGGGCAGCTGGGAAGAAACATCACAGCTCACATACATTTGTGATGGAACCAAGGGGTAGGTACAATCTGTAGAAGCCATCTGAACACAAAGTGGGAACATGAATGCAGTGGGTGCTGGTAGCTCTGAGGTGACTTCCCTGACCTGGGACTGAGTGTGTCTGACACACCTAAGCCCACTACATCACCTGGGCCTTGCACAGAAGACAAGCTTAGTGCCAGTGACTCATCCCTGTGGCTATAGGGGTTTGAGGTTATTTACTTCATAAAATACATTAAATGACTTCATCTAAAAAGCAAATATACCAACACAACAATTAATATTAAAACCCAGACATCCACACACCTGGCCTAAACAACACCCCCAAAACTTTCAGTCTTTCCTAACTGATGGGCCATGATTCTAGAGAAGAGCCCACCTAGCTGAGTTACCTTGATGTCAGCTCCGGAGAGGTCATCCTTTGCCATGATCAAGTCATCTAGTGTTACGTCATCAGCCAGTGTCATCCTGCTTGTGTGAATCTGAAAGATGCGCTTCTTAGTCTTTTCATCAGGCAGGGGGAACTCGATTTTCCTGTCGATGCGGCCTGCAGGTACAAAGCTTTCAGTCACACCCCCATCCAGATCGAAGTGTTGTTCTGCCCTGCCCCAGAAAGAGGCCTCATCCCATCCCTTCACATGTGGTTTCAGTGAGATGGTGTTCTGTGGGATGACATCCAAATCTTAAAAAGTGAGCATTCACTTTGTAAATGTCTACATTTGAATTCACCTCATTTAAATCCTGTTTCGGTACCTTCAGAAGTAAATGAAAGGGCAGTTCATGAATGGCCTATTTAGTGATAAAGGACAGATCAACCTTGTTAAAAACACTGCAAAAGATAGCAAAACAATTACTGCTTTTCCCAGTGCTGACTCAATGTAAAAAAACAAACCCAAGCTATAATATGAATTATTTCTTCAGGAAAAGAAGTGAGTTCTTGAGGCTAAAAAGGGAATATTTATTGTGGGGAAAAAAAGATGTAAGACTGGGATTCAAAGGGCCACGCGGCAAAGACTGTATCATGATCTTTGATCATGATCTTATGGAGACATATTTTTGGTAAGCTATTCCAGGTTTCACTACCATATTTGCTATTCTGTGTACCATCTTATAATTCCCCTAAAGCACAAACATACATAAACATATTAATTCTCCATAATGAAACAAAAACAAATTTAACCTGGTCTGATCAGTGCTGGATCCAAAGTTTCTATTCGGTTTGTGGCCATGATAACTTTCACATCTCCCCTTGAATCAAATCCATCCAACTGGTTCAACAGTTCCAACATTGTTCGCTGAATTTCTCTCTCACCTCCAGAATTTGAATCATATCTTTGCAGAAGAAAGAAAGAAATGAAGACCCAACTGATCTGCTAAAGGGGAGTTATGCAAAGACTGGTCATGACAGAAATCTCATTCCTTCCTCAACCCAAATGCCACTCCCAACTTATCTAGCAAAAAAAAAAAAAAAAAAAAAGTCAGCACCCCATGCTACTGTCTACATGTGCTTCCCAAATTCTTTGTTGAAAATTAATCCTCACTGTGGTAGTAATGAAGAGGTAGTGCCTGTTGGAAAGTGATCAGTGCCTTATAAAAAGGCTGGTGAGAACTGGCTTTTGCCCTTTTTGCTCTGTCATTCTGCCATATGAAGACACAGTATTTGTCTCCTTTGGAGGACTGAGCAACAAGGCACCATTCTGGAAGCAGAAAGCAGCCTTCTCCAGACATGGATGCCAGTTCCTTGATCTTAGACTTCTCGGCTTCCAGAACTGTGAGGAAACAAACCTCTGTCTTTATAAATTACCTAATCTGTGGTGTTTTGTTTATAGTAGCACAGATGGAGTAAGACACCATCAGCCAAGTTACAGATCACATTTCCTTGCAGCAGTTTCTGTGCCTGAAATTTTATCATTTATTCTGTCTCCATTTGGTGTCTGATCCCCCAACCTGCCTATGAGGGCAGAGACTGCCATGCTCATGGCTGTGTCCACACGGTCCTCAGCTCAGGAAGTACTCGAGCTGGTTATTCATGACTGACCAATTTCCAGACACTCCTAGCAACTAGGTAGCTGTTATGTGGCCCTGGGAGAGCAGTGCCTGAAGCATCCACAGGGCCACATACAGCAAGAAGTCACCACACAAGAAGCCCAAGATCGTTCATTCTCAGAGAAGAGTTGCATAGTTTTGCCTCTGAACAGGTAAGAGAAAGTCTACCTTTTGGTCCCAATGGCATCGATTTCATCAATAAACACAATGGAGGGTGCGTGTTCTTCAGCAACTCGAAACAATTCCCGTACAAGTTTGGGCCCATCGCCTAGGTACTTCTGAATAAGTTCTGAGCCAACCACTCTCAAGAAAGTGGCTGAAGTTTGGTTTGCTACTGCTTTGGCTAACAAGGTTTTACCTGTTTTTTCAAAAAAGACAAAGATAAAACGGATAAACCCCTCAAGTTCTGGTTCTGTTTAGAAACATTCTCACCTTTTAAAAAGTGGATCCTAGTGATAAAAAGCATGCCACCATCAGGTGTCTGGACACTGTTCTCCTAACCTACTAACATGTTTTGATTGTTTTCAACTGCTTTCCTAAAGTCCTTGTGATGTCAGAAAATATCTTTCTCTTGAATATTTTCAAACCACGACCCAAAGTTTCTACTAAAGAATTAAAAACTATAATCACCTGTAGGAAGAACTGTTTTGTACTAGCAATGAAACCAATCTCACTTTTTTAAGTGAGGCTTTCTTGGGCCCTTCAAAGTTGCATATAAAATAACCTGATGCATCCAGCCCAGAGTTGCAGAACCAAGTAACTCCCATGGACCATCAGTGATAAACACCATCCAGAACTCAAGTCCAACCCTAAGGAGACACATGGAGTGTGTGCCTCTCTGCAACATTAATTTCCTGGGCTGGAAGATGAAGGGCTGTAGTAGACTGGACTCTTGCAGCTTGAGACTTCTGTGCACAAGGTCCTCCCAGTTCTTCCTGGGCAACCCTCAGGAATGCAGCTTCAATTCTTACAAGCAGATAGCTGCTCTTCCTTTGGAACTTATGTAACTGCTCAGGCTTCGTTGCTACAACTTACTCAGGGGTCAACATATTGCACAATGAATCCAGTATGTATATATTATCATTCATTCATCCATCCATCCAACAAGTGTTTCTTCATCATCACTAGGCCAAGAAAATGAACCTAATCTGAACACCTCAGTGGCTTCCAGAGAGCCACATGGCTCTGAGGCTTGGCACACTCCAGCTGAATGTATCAGAGTCTTTGGAGATGGGAACAGCATCAGAATGTTTTTAAAGCTCCCAAAGTGATTCCCATGTGCATGCATAGTCAAGGCTGAGAATCTGTTTTTATTTTACTTTTTTGGGGTGTGTGTGCTAGGAATTCAGCCCAGAGCTTTGTGCAAGCTAAGCAGTGTGCTCCACAACTGAGCTACAGCCCCAGCCCCTGAGCATCTGTTTTAACCTAAGGAATTATGGTGTCCTCCTGGACAGGTTAGTAATTATAACTAGCCAGTGCTACTACTCAAGATATGAACTGAGCACACCTGTAATCCTAGCACTTGGGAGGGAAGCAGAAGGCTAGTGAGTTCAAGGTCAGCCTGAGCTACAAAGCAAGACTCGTCTCCAAAAAGAAAGACTGGGGATGGTACAGCACTTACCTAGCATGTGCAGCAACCAAAAAGCAAAACAAAACAAAAAAACTAAGCTAACGTTGAGTGCTTGCAGTGTCAAACACAGAGCATACCTGTGCCAGGTGGGCCGTAGAGAATGACCCCCTTAGGGGGCTTTATACCCATCTCCTCATAATATTCAGGATGGGTGAGAGGAAGCTCCACAGACTCCTACAGAAAAGAAACACTGGTAAAAATGCAGGGACTTTCTTACTGATATTATTAGCATTATCTTGCTTTCAGCAAAAATCTCTATGTTCTTAGAGACAGGATGCTTAGCAAGGAAATGCTGAAGACATACATGTGTCTTGCTTAAGCTCTTAGCAGCCTTCTCCTTTCTGACTCACACCGTTTCCCTTTTACTTTACAGTAGAAGTCAACCTTCAGCAACATTTAAAATACTCCTGAGCAAAAGTGACATAAGAAAGCTAAAATTCACCCTTTTCAACTTATCTACAGACAGGACCTGGAAAGACTTCCCGATGGCTGTTCCCACCTAGAGACATTATAGCTACTTTCAGCTGAGAGGTCCCAAGTGGAGATCTGTGATGACCTGAATGAATGACTTCACTATGGATAAAAGAACATGCAGAGAGCTGGCTCACAGACATCCTGAGTGACCACAGCCCCCCAAGCCCCAGGACCACTGTGACACTTACATTATGTTCTAGATACCAACACTGTACAAGCTTGTACAGGTACACCTGTACCTCTATGTAACACTGGTGGTCTACAGATATCCACAGCCAAAGTCAGCACAACTGGAAACCGCATGTCTTCACACAGGTAATTCAGTAAATGTTACACATGAGAAGTACTGAACTGCAGCTGTTGTAGGAGTTATCATAGAACTCACTGTTATTTCTACTACCTAACTAAGTATCGACAAATAAAAATACTCCACAATTGCGAAGCTCTGAGTCAGTTACTGACCAGATCAATAAAGAAAAACAAACATGCAGAACACCTCCAAAGTACCCTCCATTGAACAGTTTCTTAACCAAAGGTCTAAAAACCCAGAGCTGGTACCCAGTCATACCTTAATTTCCTGGATCTGGTTGTCCAACCCTCCAATATCTGCATAGGTCTCTTGGGGGGCCTTTTCCACCTTCATCACCGTGACCAGGGGATCTGTGTCATCCATTAGCACCCCTATCACAGCGTGTACCTAACAACGAACATCAAGCTTTAACACAGGAGCATGAGGTTCCCTCAATCTGTTCACAACAATGCAGTGCCAGTTACAGCATTGTTCTCCCCATCCCCAGGAGTGCTTTGGTGATTCACTTCCATGGGACAGGTGGGCAGATCTAAGGAGAACGTACTCCTGTGGAGAGAACTCACCTTGTGGTTAAGCAAGACTGAGCAGCCTGGTTCCAGCAAGTCCTTGTCCACAAATGAAAGGATACTGACATAGTGCTCGGAGCCCACAGATGTAGACACAATGGCATGATTGTCATCAATGATCTCTTCCAAGGTTCCTACGGACATTGGTGTTCCCCTCAGATCATCCACCTTTGATCTTTCCTCCTATAATACATGGAGAAGGAAAAGCAGGTTAGACCCAAAAGGTGGAGGATCCTGATAGTTTACTAGATTTGCAATCAGCTAACGCTTTTAAAAGGTAGCTAGTATGCCAGGCACAAGTGGCTCATGTCTGTAATCTTAGCTACTTGGGAGGCTGAGATTGGGAGGATCGTGGTTTGGGGTTAGCCCAGAGATTTCCAAAAATAACCAGAGCAAAATGGACTGGAGATGTGGATGAAGTGGTATAGCACCTGCTTTGCAAGTGTGAAGCCCTGAGTTCAAACCCCAGTTCAACCAAAAAAAAAAAGTATTTAATAAGGCTTCATAAAATCCTGGATAGGTTCAACTTCATTAATCTCATTTATTTGCCAAGTTTTAGGTTCTAAATAGAATTCACTTTGTAAAAAAGAAAACTGGACTAACTTTTACTTACCTCTTGTTTTTCTTCTAAGGGCTTCATTTGCTCCTGATTTCTAATGAACTCCTCCTCCATGAGAAGATAGTCTTTAATTCTCTCTAACTTCAGTAATTTTAAGCGGCACTGAGTGTGAGGTGTCACTGTAATTAAAAACCAAGGTTTTAGGGCTAGTGGCATGGCTTAAGTGGTAGAGTGCTTGCCTAGCAAGTGCAAGGCCCTGAGATCAAATCTCAGTACTGCAAAAAAAAAAAAAAAGTTTTATTATTCTTGAAACTTAAAGTTTGTAATTAAGGAAAAACTATTAAGACTTTAAAGTAAATTCATTTAAAATAAGCTGGAAAGATTCTGAAAAATCCAAATTTACTGCTAACTCTACGAATACATGTACCAAAATGAAAAGGAGAAATGAGTTCTGGCAGTTCTAAGCAAGTATCTGAAAAAGCTTATGAACAAACAGTGCAAAATAATCCACAGTGCCTATATGTTTAAAGAAGTCACTGGCTGGTGTGGAGGCTCACACCAGTTACTCAGGAGGCAGAGATGAGAAGCACAGTTCAAAGCTAGCTCAGGCAAAATGTTTAAACCCCAGTTCCTTTAAAAAAAAAAAAAAAAAGCCACTGACCCAAAAGACACTTTGGCTTTTTTTTTAAAATTTATTTATTTTTAATTTTTATTTTATTCATATGTGCATACAATGTTTGGGTCATTTCTCCCCCCTTCCCCCCCGCCCCCTCAACCACCCCACTCCCTCCCTCTCCCCCCTACCCCCTCGCTTCCAGGCAGAAACTATTTTGCCCTTATCTCTAATTTTGTTGAAGAGAGAGTACAAGCAATAATAGGAAGGAACAAGGGTTTTTGCCAGTTGAGATAAGGATAGCTATACAGGGAGTTGACCCGCACTGACTTCCTGTGCATGTGTGTTACCTTCTAAGTTAATTCTTCTTGAACTAACCTTTTCTCTAGTTCCTGGTCCCCCTCTCCTACTGGCCTCAGTTGCCCCAAAGTATCTGCTTTAGTTTCTCTGCGTTGAGGGCAACAAATACCATCCAGTTTCTTAGGTGTCTTACCTATCCTCACCCCTCCCTTGTGTGCTCTCGCTTTTATCATGTGCTCATAGTCCAATCCCCTTGTTGTGTTTGCCCTTGATCTAATGTCCACATATGAGAGAGAACATGATTTTTGGTCTTTTTGGGCCAGGCTAACCTCACTCAGAATGATGTTCTCCAATTCCATCCATTTACCAGCGAATGATAACATTTCATTCTTCTTCATGGCTGCATAAAATTCCATTGTGTATAAACACATTTTCTTGATCCATTCGTCAGTAGTGGGGCATCTTGGCTATTTCCATAACTTGGCTATTGCGAATAGTGCTGCAATAAACATGGGTGTGCAGGTGCTTCTGGAGTAACCTGTGTCACAGTCTTTTGGGTATATCCCCAAGAGTGGTATTGCTGGGTCATACGGTAGATCAATGTTTAGCTTTTTAAGTAGCCTCCAAATTTTTTTCCAGAGTGGTTGTACTAGTTTACATTCCCACCAGCAGACACTTTGGCTTCTTTACCATAGATACAAGTAGGTGACAACTGGCCAGGTATGGTGGCTCATGTCTATAATTCTAGCTACTTGGGAGGCAGAGACCAAAAGGATCACAGTTTGAGGCCAGTACCGGCAAAAACTTCAGCAACCTCATCTCAACCAATAAAAACTGGGTGTGTTGGTGTGCGCCTGCCATCCCGGCTACATGGGAAGTATAAATGGAAGGATCATAGTCAAGGCTGGCAGGCACATAAATGTGAGACACTACTCAAAACCTAGCTAAAGCAAAAGGGGCTGGAGGAGTGTCACTGCTCCTGCCTAAGAATTCAAACTCCAGCTACACCAAAAATAGTTAAAAAAAAAAAAAAAAAGTTGTATGTGCTGCCCATTCAGTATACATTGCTATTTGGACTTCTGTATACATATTCATCCATTTGTTGAATTTTGCAGTACTAGCAATATTAATTTTCTTTGTCACATATGTGGCAAATATTTTCCCATAGCTTCTTTTAGCTTTGTTTCAGTAATTTTAAGCGGCACTGAGTGTGAGGTGTCAAGCCACAAAGGAATTTTATTATTCCTATAAACAAAATCTGTCAACCTTTTCTTTTATGGTTTCTGGATTTTTTGATGAATTTCAAAGGGCTCTCTCCTCTAAGATTAAATATATTCCCGAATTTCCATTTATTTTCTATGTATATCTGTAATCCATTTGTCAAAGGCAAGCGATCTAATTTCATTCTCTGTATAGAAAATAAAAAATGCCAACCATTTTTATTAAATAACCCTTCCTAGTTCCCACAGAATTGAAATGTCACCTTTAATATATCTAAAATACCCATGTAATTTGACTGTTTTTAAACTTCTCATTCTCTTCTGTTAACCTAGCTGTCTATTCTTGTACCAGTGCCATATTGACTACCACAGTAGAGTCAACAGCAAGTTTTACTATCTGACTCCCTATATTTTTAACTGAGCAGTATTTAAAAAATTAGTTTATTTCTTCTAAGCAAGGAGGGACATTTTTAGATGGGGGTAGAGGTGGTATTCCAGCTGAAGTATCTAAAGGCATGAGAAACAGGTAGCCATGGGAAGAATCTGGGGGAAGAGCATTTTAAGCAGAGGGAAGAATAAGGGCAAAGGCCTAACATACAGAGGAGTCAAAGGACACAAGGCAGGCAGTGTGACCAATGGGCAAGGGGGGTGGCAAGGCTGAGCATGGAGAGGTGGGCTGGGTCAGGACACCTGTTATTTTATACTCATCAGGAAGCCAATGAAAAATTTTAAGTTCTGGTATCACATGATCCAAATTTTAATAAGATTAACACTTTGTTTCATGAGAGCATTTTGGAGGTACTCAAGCTCAACCTGGGTTTTATAATCTAAAACTATACTCTTGTGGTAGTACACATCTATAATCCCAGCACTTAGGAAGCTGAGGCAGGAGGATCACGAATCTGAGACCAGCCTGAGATACACAACGAGACTTTATCTCAAAAACAAAACACAAAACAACCTATACCCTTAATATGTTAGAGCTGGCTATTTAAGAAAAATTAATGGAATTTCTTAATGTGAGACTGTAAGAACACTGTATTTTAAAATAAAACATAAAGTACGCCAACCTAGAGGAATGTGGCACATCAGAGTTTTGTAGGGTAACAGGGTTATAACCACAGAGCTAGAGTTTTGATCACCCCCACGTTTTGTGTCTACGCTTTCAGACTCTAAGCTACATGCACAGATATGGCTTTCCCTAGAACTGGGAGGATAGCAGAGAAGAACATGTCATTACCTAGTGGCAGTTTGCTGGCAGCATCTGGTCCCTTTGTTTTCTTCTTCTTTTTCCCCACTCTAGTTGGTACGGGAGGCTCATATTTCTTTTTCTTGTCCTTAAGTTTTTAGAAGAGCAGGAAAAAAGTCACTTGAAATCATAACACACATTTATTTCTGCATTACCATAATCTATTTCCAGGTGGTACAATTTTCCTTCTCTTTTAGGATGTTATTTAAAAATCATCATAAAAAAGCTCAAGTGGTAGAGCACCTGCCTAGCAAGAGTAAGGCCCTGAGTTAAAAAACACACTACTGCAAAAAAAACCCAAAACAAGATTTCACATTTCTGTACTTTGAGTAAAATGCAATTGTTATAAGCAAATGAAATCTTTTAATAATACACATAAATGACAGTGAGTCAGATTATTCCAATAAGGTATACAGAGAAGTCAGAATTGAATTACATGCCAAAGCTTGAATAATATGAGGCAGTTCTTCACACCTCAGGATATTAAACATTAAAATTACAGGCAATTTACTTTAAAACTTCTGTAATGTTGATACTTTTACACAGTTAAAAAAATTAGCTCATAAATACCTACTTGATAGTTGGGTCAATAACCTTTTCAAAAATATGAAAAAGGTGTTCTATCCAAAGCCAGCCTAGTTTAATAACTACTGGATCATTTGGCTTTTAAATTTTATGGATCCCCAAGGAACTAAGCCAAGACCCATGGCATTTTTCACAATGTGCTCACATCACAGTAATTATCTGACTTATTTACCTTGTCATCCTTTTTGCCACCTCCAGGACCATGACCACCACTCTGACTTTGACCCTGGGGGGGTAAAAATCAGACACAGATGTAAATTTAGAATATCATCACTTCAACAAAACATCCTTGTTGTCCTGTGATTCTAAAACACAAATATATCCCTTAGTTTTAACATGCACAAGTCCCAGTCCCTTACAGCCAGGGTGTGGTGTTTAATGTGGAAGAGATTACTTGCAACTGATTAAGAGTGTCTGTATTAAGAAGCTAGGGTTCCAAGCCTAAATCTTTTGAGCGGAAGGTGTAGAACCTGATATTCTTTAATATTCAACTATCAGAGTGTATTTCAGGATATCAGGCTAGGAAAGATGTAGACATCTGACAAACATTTACTCTCTAGACAAATCCACTAGGATCCACAAGACAAACAACTATTTGCCTCTAAAGCCTGGGGGTACTTGGGCAGACCTTTTGTCTCAATCTGAAAAGCTGTCACCTTAAGGTGTTAAGAACTTAGTGTATTAAAAGGCTCAGTGGGATTTTGTATTTTAAAACAGACCCTTCATTTACATGTCAATGCGTCACATACAGAAATGACTCAAATGATGACTTTTAAATATAACAGTGAACTTACTGTTCAGTGGAGCCAGTCAGCCCCCTCAAATTATACCTACAGTTTCATTATCTAAGACAAAACCATCACATCGTGGTTACCTAATACAATTAATGTAACATGTTTTACCACATGCAAGATTCTTAAAACCTTCTACTCTGAAGAAGCTAACTAAAGGCTCAAAGAGCTTCTGAGTAATACAATTAGTCATGCTGAACAGGCCATTCACGTTATAGGCCTTTAGCAATTACTTTAGAATTTCTAAGGAAATTCTGATGGCTGGGGTGGCTAATGTTTGTGGAGTGCTTGTATGTGCCCAACACTGAACTATGTATTTTCCCTGTGCTATCATTAATTCCACACAATTCTCTAAGGTAGCTTTCAGTATTCCTTTCACAGATGAGGAACTACAAGTCTGAGAACACAGGCTACGGAATTAGACAAATCCAAGCTTGAATTGTGCCTTCATCACTACAAGTTATGTGGCCTTGGGTAGGTAAGTCAGGACACCTTCTTGAGCTCTGGTGTCCTTAACTGGAGAGGAGGAGGATATTAGCTCTCACCTATTGCTGCAAAGGAATAACACATGCAGATCATCACTTTCATGACTTATGTAAGCTCTCACCAATGTACTATTACTGGTGAATAAAGAAGGGCAAGATCTGAATTTTAACTGTCAGACTAGCTACAAAACATGTGCCTTATTTTATTTTTTTGGTTTTTTGAGACGGGTTCTCACTACATAGCCCAGGCAGCTTCAAACTCTTGATCCTCCTGCCTCAACCTCCCCAGTGCTGGAATTAGACATGTACCACCACACCCAGCTAAAATGTGCACTTTAAAACTGTCCAAATCCATTCTGGCTCTAGTCTTCACGTTTTTGGTCTATCTCCTGTCTCCATTCCTGCACCTGTTTTTGTTCAGGCCATCACTTCTTACTTGGATTCCAGCCCTGCAAGCAGCAAGCTATTACCTTCCAAAACAAACAGCTGACCCTTCATGCTCCTCCTCAAAAGCCATCAACTGCTCCTTGCCCTTTATGGTATTATGTCCACACTCATTTTGGCAAGCTTGACCCTTGCCAAAGTAGCTACACCTAACCTCAGCTACCTTTTTCACTACCCTGTAAACATGGTCCCAATGGAGAATATTTTCCTAAATGTGTTCCACACTCCATTTCTGGGATATTGTACATGTTTCTCAGTCTCAAATGACAAGAACTACACCTTTGACTGAGCTCTTAGGATATACCATGCATTGTGCTAAACGTTCTCAGAGCGTTCGCCCAAATAACTCTTCCAAACACTGAAACTGGTAAATCATCACCCCTAACTTACAGATAAGAAAACCAAGGCCCAGAGAGGTTAAGCGACTTGCCTATTGTCACAAAGCTTGTAATAACACTCATGCCTGCTAGACACCAGAACTTGGGTGTTTATCTACTGCTCAGAAAACAAGGACAAGGTTTGTGTTCTACCACAGTCACTATGTTTCGGTTTCCTCCTTAGCAAAATGAGCATGGTATTGATAATTACCTCCGGTTACTGTTGTAAGAATTAAGGAGAAACTGCTGGCAAAGATCCTGGAACGCTGCCGCACAGTCCTCCTAAGCCCGCTGCGTGGTCGGGCTCCTGGTTCAGGCTAAGCTCAGCCCCATCTCAGGTCCTCTGCACACTGGCTGGTCCTTCTTTCCGGACCCAGACATTTGCACGAGTTACTCCTTCAACTTAGGCCTCTATTCAAACCCCATCTTCTCCTAGGGTCCTTTGCTGTCACTTCTCCCCATCCCCTTGCTATAGAACAGTCATACATGCTAGCCTAGCCAGACCCCATGCTGCTCGGGACACGGTATTGCATGCGTCTTTCTGTTTATGGTAAGCCTTCTCTGTGTAACCGCCCCGAGAGCCATCAATTCTTCAAGCCCTGCTACCCTCGGTGCCCAAGCAAACCAAGGGGGCAGCTACTTAATGAACACAGGGCCTAAGTACCAGGGGCCCTGTTCCTTTGAGCTCCTTCGAACCTCCGGCCTTCCACACGAAACGCCGCAGACCCCTCTGCAGCTGACCGAGTCCCACGTTCGCTCAACCCTTCACTCGAACGGCCCGGAAAACGCCTGACCCAGAGCCCGGGTCGGCGGAGGGGCAAGGATAGCGAGTCGGACCCTTCTGTTGTCCCGGGTTTGCAATGGACCCGAGCGCCACCTTCGCCCACCGAGGAGACCCGGCCAGCGGACGGGGAGAGGGCGGATGGGGGTCTCGGACAGCGCCTAGTTCTCTCGCTCGGGCCGCTTCAGGTTCGTGGCACCGCGACCATCCACCCGAAACCCTTAGTCACTCACCATCTTGTCCCGGCCGCTACAGCCACCGCTGCCGGAAGTGCGTCACCACCACGCCCAGTCACGAGCGGAAGTTGCCGAGGGACGCTACGGAAGCCGATGAGGTCAAAATCCCGCGCGAAGTTGCGCTCAGGCCTTCGTATGGAGGTTTGAAAGAGATGCTAACTTGGATACAAGACGTGAACCTTATAAATATTTAAATAACTACTATTGGGTTTTTGTCAGCAACTTAAGACAGTGACCTCCACTGTCAAAGGACTAGGACAATTGTGAAAATAGTAACAAATTTAAATAAGGAAAAATTATTAACTGGAAATAATGTATGGCTCCAAGAACTGGACGGCATTTGGAACTGGCATGTTGACATATACACAAACATTTATTTTATTTTATTTTATTTTTTTCATTTTTCTTTTATTATTCATATGTGCATACAAGGCTTGGTTCATTTCTCCCCCCTGCCCCCACCCCCTCCCTTACCACCCACTCCACCCCCTCCCGCTCCCCCCCTCAATACCCAGCAGAAACTATTTTGCCCTTATCTCTAATTTTGTTGTAGAGAGAGTATAAGCAATAATAGGAAGGAACAAGGGGTTTTGCTGGTTGAGATAAGGATAGCTATACAGGGCATTGACTCACATTGATTTCCTGTGCGTGGGTGTTACCTTCTAGGTTAATTCTTTTTGATCTAACCTTTTCTGTAGTTCCTGGTCCCCTTTTCCTATTGGCCTCAGTTGCTTTAAGGTATCTGCTTTAGTTTCTCTGCATTAAGGGCAACAAATGCTAGCTAGTTTTTTAGGTGTCTTACCTATCCTCACCCCTCCCTTGTGTGCTCTCGCTTTTATCATGTGCTCATAGTCCAATCCCCTTGTTGTGTTTGCCCTTGATCTAATGTCCACATATGAGGGAGAACATACGATTTTTGGTCTTTTGGCCAGGCTAACCTCACTCAGAATGATGTTCTCCAATTCCATCCATTTACCAGCGAATGATAACATTTCGTTCTTCTTCATGGCTGCATAAAATTCCATTGTGTATAGATACCACATTTTCTTAATCCATTCGTCAGTGTGGGGCATCTTGGCTGTTTCCATAACTTGGCTATTGTGAATAGTGCCGCAATAAACATGGATGTGCAGGTGCCTCTGGAGTAACAGTCTTTTGGGTATATCCCCAAGAGTGGTATTGCTGGATCAAATGGTAGATCGATGTCCAGCTTTTTAAGTAGCCTCCAAATTTTTTTCCAGAGTGGTTGTACTAGTCTACATTCCCACCAACAGTGTAAGAGGGTTCCTTTTTCCCCGCATCCTCGCCAACACCTGTTGTTGGTGGTGTTGCTGATGATGGCTATTCTAACAGGGGTGAGGTGGAATCTTAGTGTGGTTTTAATTTGCATTTCCTTTATTGCTAGAGATGGTGAGCATTTTTTCATGTGTTTTCTGGCCATTTGAATTTCTTCTTTTGAGAAAGTTCTGTTTAGTTCACTTGCCCATTTCTTTATTGGTTCATTAGTTTTGGGAGAATTTAGTTTTTTAAGTTCCCTATATATTCTGGTTATCAGTCCTTTGTCTGATGTATAATTGGCAAATATTTTCTCCCACTCTGTGGGTGTTCTCTTCAGTTTAGAGACCATTTCTTTTGATGAACAGAAGCTTTTTAGTTTTATGAGGTCCCATTTATCTATGCTATCTCTTAGTTGCTGTGCTGCTGGGGTTTCATTGAGAAAGTTCTTACCTATACCTACTAACTCCAGAGTATTTCCTACTCTTTCTTGTATCAACTTAAGAGTTTGGGGTCTGATATTAAGATCCTTGATCCATTTTGAGTTAATCTTGGTATAGGGTGATATACATAGATCTAGTTTCAGTTTTTTGCAGACTGCTAACCAGTTTTCCCAGCAGTTTTTGTTGAAGAGGCTGCTATTTCTCCATCGTATATTTTTAGCTCCTTTGTCAAAGTTAAGTTGCTCATAGTTGATACACAAACATTTAAGTTCCTATCTGGTCTCTGGAATTAACCTACTCACTTCAGAGTATTTCTTTGTCTCATGAGTCATCTAAACTTGTGGTTTACTGATGACCTGTGACTTGGGATGCTGCCAAATGTCTTCACTTTCCTGTCTTGAATGAGTTGGTAAAGTTCATCGTTTATTTCATCCACCAGGACGCTAGAAAGATGGAAGTCACCTCTGCCCCTGGAAACTTCCATTAGCAGGTGCTTGAAATGCTGCCTTGGAGATGAATGGGGGTGGGGGTGAGCGGGATTGCTCTAGATTAATTTAGGCATTTTAGCTGTGAAACACTAAAAACTAAAACTATTTCACTATTGACGCACAACACATATATTCCGTCCTGTCCATCACTGCTAAATTGTTATATCAAACTTTTGAGACTAAGAGGTCTCTTCATGAAATACAGGGTTTATTAAATTGTTACAGATTCCGTCAAAGGTCAAAGGACAGATCCTGGGTCAAATTTCCCAAGCCTCCAGCAGCATGAACAGATAGTCATTGGAAAAATATTTGCCAGACCTAAGTTCTAAGGGGCCAGGGTGTTTTATAATGAAATGTTGGAGAAAGACACAGAAATCATTGACTATAAATGAGGGTGGGACACCTCAAAGAAGGCAAAGTCCTGGGATAGGAAGTTAGTTCATTAAGAAAAGTTGAGGTTTTTTCATTGTTGCTTTTTTTACTTGTTTGATTTTTTAAATTTTTGAGACAGAGGAGTCTTGCTGTACAGCCCAGGCTGCCTTAAATTCCTAATCCTCCTATCCCAACCTCCTGACTGCTGGGATTACAGGCATGAACCACCACATCTGACCATAAAGAGAAATTTTGCTGTTCTAAAAGAAAAATGTGATGTGGTTTTTTGCTGGGTAATCTTCAGCAAGAAAAGATTTTTTTTTCTTTGTTGATTTAACTTGAAATTGAGATAAAATGAACTTCTCATATCTCCTTTCTCCACTCTGGACTGTAACTTAATTTAGGGCATCTTTCAATTCTCTTACTACATTGACATAGAAAGTCTTGGCACTGTTGACTTCTGTGAGCAAATCTAGCCTCCATTCAGCCAGATACATGTAGTCGCATGATAGAACAGAGGCAAGACAGCCATCCCTTCACAAATGCTGAAAGCTATGCATCTTGCCTATAACCTGGAGTTCTGTACCGTTCCTAAGGTGCTACCATATTAAGACCGCATTCTGGGAGACACACTACAGATGGGAGTGGCTTCATTGTGAGCAGCTAATCTGCTTATCCTTTTTCTCCCTGCTGACCCTGTCAGTACTCTCTACCCAGGGGACAGCCATCTCTGCAACTCTCCCTCTTTCCCACTTGGAATTTCCAGCCTTCCCAAGTGCCAAATGCTCCAATCAGTCTTTCTGTGACCTTCTCCCACCTTTCTCTTATCTGTTCATGAGGACCTTCTGTTTGCTAGGCAAACACTCTACCACTTGAGCCACACCCCCAGCCCTTTTTTGCTTTATTTATTTTTCAGGTAAGATCTCACTTTTTGTTGTTGTTTTATTTGTTTGTTTGTTTTTGTCTGGGGCCAGTCTTGGACCATGATTCTCCTACCTACAGCCTTCCATGTAGCTGGAATCATAGGAGCTTGCCACCATACCCAGTCTATTGATTGAGATTGGGTCTCTCTAGCTTTTTGCCCGAGCTGGCATTGAACCTTAATTCTCCTGATTTCTGCCTTCTTTTTTTTTTCTGGGAAGTTACAAAGTCATTTACATAGTTTGTTGGTGGGTTTTCTTCATTGTTGAAAGGAAAGATAGAAAGATGGGGAAGGCTTGTTGAACAGAACCATTCGAAAATTTATAGTGATGAGAAACACTGACGTAATTCCTACTTTAAGGAGTTTACCAGCTTAAGGAAGCAAAGGCCACAACACATTTACCTCTGCCCCACTGCAACACACAATTTCAAAGGATGATTCAGCTACCTGGGTCACCTACAGTTTATCCCCTTCCCTCAGAAATGCTAACGGGTACTGCATTACTTCTTTCTTTGCTTCTGCCTTTTTTTGTTTATTTTCAGTGGTACGGAGTTTGAACTCAGGGCCTCAAGCTTGCTAGGCAGGCGCTTGAGCCACACTGCCAGCCCTGCTTCTACCTTTTAAAGTCAGTGATGCTCTTGACCAGGGAGGGCTGATGGAGGTCCAGGTAAAATGACGTGACATCTCACCTGAACTCTGAAATACTACTTAACCGTGGCCAAGCGGAAAATGGTATTAGAAACACTTAGACCACAGCAGTGACTTCAACCATCAGTGACATTTACTTTGGAGGTTTCTATGTATTACATAAAGATCTTTTCTAAGCGTAATGTACAAAATCTCTAATGTCTTAAGTTAAAAATCCCTCAGTGCTGCTTGTCCTTAAGAGAACACTGTCTGTCTGTCCTTGTGCTTGGTAGACCTCTACTCCTTCCTGAGGAAAAAATGGTCAATGCTTCTGCTTCCTTTTAGTAAATTCATTTCTCAATTATTACACATTAGCATTCCCCACTTGACACCTTCCTAGAAACCTGATTGTTGGATGCATTTTCTTCTGGCAAAAATTCAATATGGCTTTGTGTGGGATGTTTGAGTGTCCGAACAGCAGTGTTGATGTTCTGGCTTGGGGAGGAAAACATGAGATGCACATATTCCCTGGAAGAACAAATGCGGGAGAATGCAGTGGGTTGTGCACAGAGTTAACAAGCCTGATAGACACTACTTGGTTCTGAATTCTGTGGCTGTCAGCCACCAGAGTGTGCAGTGTGGGCCAGAATATAAATCTCCCCAGGAACAAGTTTGCTGAGAAGCTGTAATATGACCGAGTCAGCTCCATTTTGTTCCAAGTGTGTCAGAGCACACATGCACAGGAAGGAGACGAAGGAAACGTGGGGGGCTTTCACAGGGCACAGGAGCCTGTGAGGAAGTGAACACGTGGGCATTTCTGCAAATGCCCTGACAACCTAGGCCCCAGGGAGAGAGAAAAGAAGCATCCTATTAAAAGACACTCCGTCTCTAACTCACCAGAGACCCCAGGTTTCCTTAGTTCCAGGATATGCAAGGCCAAAATGCAGTTTAGAGTTACAAGTCACTCTAGGCCACCTGGAAGCTGGCAGGCTGGGACCACTGTGGTGGACCTGGTATGCCCAAGAGGGCGGCAAGGTTACCCAGATCTTCACATCATCCACAGGGCAGTCCTGGGAGTTTGTCTCCACCATGCCCACTCAATTCACCATTCCTATACCCTGGCACACTCGGCCAAAAATGGTGTGCTTGCCGTCAAGCCACTGGGTGGGGGCAAGGGTCATGAAGAACTGGCTGCCATTGGTGTCTGGGCCTGCATTGGCCATGGCGAGAATTCCAGCCCCGGTGAACTTCAGGTCTGGATGAAGTTCGTCTTCAAACTGCTTGCCATAGATAGATGCACCACCTCGACCTGTCCCTGTTGGGTCACCTCCCTGGATCATGAAGTCTTTGATGATTCTGTGGAACTTGGTGCTGTTGTAGTAGCCTTGCCGAGCCAATTCAGCAAAATTCTTGCAGGTCTTTGGTGCATGCTTCCAGTACAGCTCCAGCACAATGAGCCCCATGCTGGTCTCCAAGTAAACATTGGGCGGCTGCCAGGAGTCTGGGGGAATCGCCGCCATAACAAAATCGGAGGAATCTTCTAGCAGTTCGATTTCTGCCTTCTAAATAGCTGGATTATAGGTGTGAGATACGTCAACCAGATACATAAGCTTAAATTTTGTGTTCTTTTTAGTTTTATCATTTTTTAATAATCTGTTTCTCAGATTTTCTTGAAGTGGAAGAATCCTTCTGCCTTAGAAAGGGATGGTGGAGCTAGGAGTGGGGGAGATTATTAATAGTTACACTAATTACTTCTATTTTACTTACATGTGGAGTAACATTTTTTAAAAAATTGCCTAGCCTCCTTTTAGAATATACAAGAATTGAAATGCGATATCAAATCTCATACTTTGCTGATTTTATATATATATGTTTATAAATGTGTGTAGTTGTACATGTATTTATAGGCTTGTGTTTGACTATGTGTGTATCTCTAGTTTTCTCCCTGTGTGTCTGTAGGCCTATACTTGTATGTATATACACTCATGTACAGCATAATAATTAATGTTTCAGTCTACAAAAGCCAGAATGCATGATGGTGTTCTCCTATGAGTATATTGCCTAGTGACATCATAGCCATCTTAGTTTTGCTAAGTGCACTTGGATATTCATGAGACAAATCACCTAATGACACATTTCTTAGAATGTATCCCTGTCATTAAGTGACATGAGACTGGTACATGTGCAATAGTGAGCACTAGTGTCTTACACTAGGGTTTGGTGAACCTCACATATATTCTGCCCCAGTTAATGTCACCAAACAGAGACCCAAGGCAAAAGCCTTTCTTCCCTGGCCCATCACAGGTGGCTCAGTAGTCAAGTCTTGTTGCTCCGTGTCCACCACATGTCAACACCCCACTTCTTCTACCGATGCATGATATGTATGGTTTAGACCTCTTCATCCTGCCATGAGACTCAGGCAGCAAAACATTTCTGAGTGCTCACCAGGCTCCAGTCTCTCCTCCAGAGTCTGGGGATACAGTAATGAAGAAGCAGACAAAAATCCTTTCCCTAAGGGAATTTAAAAAAATTAGTAGTATATAGTAATAGTATGAAACAATGGGTTTCATTATGACATTTTCATACAAGTATATGGAAATGTCACACCCCTATTACCCTTTCTAGCCTTTCTCCTTCTCCTACTGGTCCCCTTTCTCTCCCAAATAGTCCCCCTTCTAATATCATGTCTTTAAAAACAATCTAGATTGTGCAGATAAGAGAAAACATGATATTCGCTGTTTTGCATCTGGCTTATTTAACTTCATAAGATGAACTCTAGTTCCAGCTATTTTCCTGCAATGACATAATTTTGTTTTTCTTTATGTCTGACTAATACTCCATTGTGTATAGCTGTCACATTATCTTTATTTCTTTATCTGCTGTTGAGTGCCTAAGCTGATTCCGTTGTTTGGCTATTATGAATAGTGCCACAATAGACATGGTTGTACAGGTGTCTCTAATATATGCTGACAGATCCCTTTGGGTACATTCCCAGGAGTAGTATATATGTCTCATAAGGTAGTTCTAGTTTTAAGGTTTTTTTTTTAAGAACTTCCATAATGATTTCCACAGTGGCTGCAATAGTTTACATTCCCACCAATTGTTTCCTTTGCTGTACAGAAGCTTTTTAATTTGATGCAATCTCATTTGTCAATTCTTGCTTTTATTTCCTGAGATATTGGAGTCCCATTCAGAAAATTGTTGCCTATGCCTAGTTCTTCAAGCATTTTCCTTGTAGTAGTTTCAAAATTTAAGGTCTTACATTAAGATCTTTAATCCATTTTGAGTTTATTTTTTGTACAGGTGAGAGATAGGGGTCTAGTTTCAGTCTTCTATGTGTGAATATAGATTTTCCCAACATCATTTGTTGAAGAGGCTGTCTTCTCCAAAGCATGTTTTTGGTACCTTTATCAAAAATTGGATGACTGTAGCAGTGCAGGTTTATTTCTGGATCCTCTATGCTATTCATAGAGGAACTGCTGGTGTCAGTTTTTGTGCCAGTACCATGCTGTTTTTCATATATGGATCTGTAGTATACTGTGAAGTCAGGTATTATGATACCTTCAACATTACTTTTTTTGCCCAGGATTTTAGTTTTGGTTATTTGGGGTCTTTGTGCTTCCATATGAGTTTTAGAATGCCTTTTCTATTTCCATGAAGAATGTCATTGGAATTTGGGGATTATATTGAATCTGTGATTCAATGTGTTAAGTTTATTCCTCTGTATTTTATTTATCTTTTTTTGAGGCTATTGTGAATGGTATTGTTTTCCTCATTTCTTTCTTAGAGTGTTGGGATATGGGAAATCTACTATTTGATTTTATATCCTGCTACTATACTGAAAGTGTTTATTAGAGTTTTCTAGTGGAGTCTTTAGGGTCTTTGAAGTATAGAATCATATTATATACAAATAGAGAAATGTGATTTATTCCTTTCTTATTTGTACCCCTTTTATTACTCCCTCTTGACTTATTGCTCTGGTTACTAATTCAAGCACCGTATTGTCGAAGAATGGAGAGAATGGAAACTGTCTTCTCATTAGTGATTTTAGAGGAAATGCTTTCAGTTTTCCTCCATTTAGCATAATGTTGGCAATAGGCTTGTCATATATAGCCTTTATTATGTTGAGGTTATGTTCCTTCTATTCCTAGTTTCTTCAGAGCTTTTATCATGAAAAGATGTTGAGTTTTGTCAAAGGCTTTTCTGCATCTACTGAGATGATCATGTGGTTTTATCCTTGATTCTGTTTATATGCTGTATTACATTTATTGATTTGTATATGTTGAACCATACTTTCATCCCTGGAATGAAATCAATGTGTTGTTGATTTGGTTTGCAAGTATTTTATTGGGCTTTTTTTCATCTATGTTCATCAGGGAAGTTGTTATATAGTTTTCTTTTGTTTCTGTGTCCTTGCCTGGTTTTGGTATCAAGGTAAATATTGATTTTGTGGAACAGATTCAGCAGCATTTCTTCCTTTTCTATTTTATGGACTAGTTTGAGGAACATTGGTTTTAGTTTTCCTTTAAAGGTCTGGTAGAATCCAACAGTTCCTTTGTTGGAAGACTATTACTGCTTCAGTCTCATTGGTTATTATAGATCTGTTTAGGTTGTTTATTTACTCTTAGTTCAACTTTGGTAGGTTCTATGTCTCTGGAAATTTATCCATTTCTTCTATTTTTCCAAAATATAAGTTTGCAAAATATTCCCTGATGATCCTTTGAATTTCATTGGTAACTGTTGTAACATCCCCTTTCTCATCCTGATTTTTAAAATTTGGGTCTTCTTTCTCTTTCTCTTGGTTAGTTTGGTTAAGAATTTGCCAATCTTGTTTATCTTTTTGAAGTATCAACTCTTTGTTTCATTGATTCTTTGTCTTGTTCTTTTAGTCTCCATTTCATTAATTTCTGCTCTGATTTTGTTCTTTCTGTCTACTAATTTTGGATTTGGCTTTTTTTTGTTTTTCAAAGACCTTGAGGTGGATTATTAGATTACTTATTTGAGGGTTTTATATTTTTTTCTTTTTGGGGGAGGGGAGTGGACAGTGTCTTGCTATGCAAAACTCACTATGTGCTCAGGTTGCCCTTGAACTTGTGATCCATCTGCCTCGGCCTTCCAAGTACTGGAATTACAGACATGTGCTCCCACATCATCTCTCTGATTTTTTTTTAAATGTAAGCACTCATAGATCAAAACTTAGTGTTAACAACTGCCTTTGGTGTATCCCAAAGGTTCCAGTGAGCTGTGTTTTCATTTTAATTTGATTCTAGGAAATTTTAAATTTTCTCCCTGATTTCTTCAATGACTCACTGATCAGTCAAAGGTATATTATTCAGTCTTCATATATTTGTATAGTTTCTCTTGCTACTGATTTCTAATTTAATTCCATTATGATCTGATAAAATATAGGGAATTTTTTCAATTTTTTGTGTTTGTTAAGAATTGCTTTATGCCATAAAATGTGGTCTATTTTAGAGAAAGATCCATGGGCTGCTGAGAAGAATGTGTACCCATGGCTATTGGATGGAACATTCTACATGTGTCTGTTAAATCCATTTGATCTATGGTGAAGTTTAAAGTTTCTTTGTTAATTTTTTGGGAGTCTGGATGAGCTGTTGATAAGATGAGGGTATTGATGTCACCCACTATTATCTTATCTGGATCTGTCTCTTTATGTATAGTAATGTTTGTTTTATGAAATTGGGTTTATCAATGTTTGTTGCATATGAGTTTACAGTTGTTGCATCTTCTTTTTGGATTGTTCTCTTTATTAATATGTAGTGATCTCCTTTATCTCGTGACTAATTTCTTTTTTTTTTTTTTTTTTTTGGTACTGGGGTTTGAAATCAGGGCCTACATCTAAAGCCACTCCACCAGTACTTTTTTGTGAAGGGTTTTTTGAGATAGGGTCTCGCAAACTATTTGCTTGGGCTGGCTTTGAACTGCAATCCTCCTGATGTCTGCCTCCTGAGTAGCTAGGATTACAGGTGTGAGCCACCAGTGCCTGGCTTCTTGTGACTAATTTTGAGTTGAAATATACTTTGACAGATATGAGTATAGCTGCTTCTGCTTGAGTTTCAATTCCATTGCATTGATATATTGTTTTCTATCCTTCCATTTCCAAATCCTGTGATTGCTTACCTCCAGGATTTCTCCTTGTGCACTGACTTCCTGTTACCTGTCTTTGTGTCTTCTGTTGCAGATGCTCAAAGTGGTTTCTGACATCCTGGATGGGCTCTGGCTGATACAGCTGCCTTGAGGAAACAGGATTCCAACCACAGAATCCTTAGTGTTAGAAGCCTACCTCTAGCTGGGCACAGTATTTGTTGAGTTGATTTGGTGGCCAGAATCATCTAAAGCTGAATCCGGAGGAAATAATGGAGGCCTCAGTTTGGGAAGGCTACTGTTTGGGGGTTAAAAAGCTAAAGAGAGAATGTCAGTAGACCTGGCAGAGGTGTGGGGTGAAGGTGGGAGCAGAAATCTAACACCTAAGCCAAATTTCAGCTGTGTGGCTTTAGCA